CAGGAAGGAAGAAGTTGTTTTCACTTCTCTGTGAACATGAGATGTGCAGCATTAATAAGCAGAAATTAAGATCTGTCTTGTCAGAGCTGGCATAAGGGTGATGCCCTGGCAGGGATGTCACAGAGCCTGTAGCACTGTCCTGTAAATGATAATCTCCTGATACTATTACAGGCAGTGCCATTATGGCTGTCAACTTTAATTAAGCAGACTTCCATTTGCTTTGTCCTTCTCATGTTGCTTCCGGGCTGCTGCTAATTCCATGTGCAGCCAGGTTTCATCACAAGGGTGTTGGCTTTGCGTTGTTGAAATCAAGTCTGAATCAGCTTAATTCCTGTGGGGACAAGACTCTGTGCAACGGTCAGGGGTCACCTAGCAGTGGGGTTGATCTTCTGTCTTCTGAAGACAGAAGAATTATGGAGAATTATGGAGAAATGACTATAGCAGCTGTAAGCACTAAGTCCATTACAGGGGTAATGGCTTCAGTGAGATTTCATACATGTATAGAGGGAAATGGCAAGGCTTTATAGAAAAGTATTAGGTAGACTATGAAGGCTATTTAAATGATTTGCTGACAAGACTCTGTGCAGTGGTCAGGGGTCACCTAGCACACCTAGCAGTGGGGTTGATCTTCTGTCTTCTGCCAAATGCTCGGTAGTAGTCAGTGCTGCCCCTGGGGTTTGTGGCTCCCTGAGGCTGGATGCAGACCCTTCCTTTCCTGCAGGCACAGGGGAGTCCTCTGAATTGGTACTGGGATGTCCCAACAGCTGAGCTGTCCCAGTAGAGCATGGCCACTACAGAGCCTCTTCAGCAGAAGTCTTCATTGGTTGGAAGTTTTCATCTTTCAGCCTCTGCCTTTGTTTTATTCTGCAAACATGAATTAAGCATTAGGACACCAGTGTTCTGCAAGGGCACCAAGTGTGGATACTGCCCTGCATTTTACTCATTCTAAAAATTGAATCCTATTATGTTTAAAAAATCAAATATTAAACCGCATTATATGGAAATGCAGGGGATATATGTCTGTATATTGACATACACATTTATTCATATGCACAGGAGGGTGCTAGATACAGGTACAAATAAAAGGAAATTAAGTTACTCGCCCAGCCTCATTCTGCAAATTGGCAGCTGAGTCAGGAGAAGAACTGAGATGTTATTCTCTGTTGGCTACATGGGGAAGCTGAGAGGCCCCATCCAAAGGTCTGTCTGTGAATGTAAATTATAAGTGCCTTTCCCAGGATGCTTGTTTTTCTAGCGTCTGTTCTTTCAAAGTGCCAAAGAGTCAGGCAGACATCAAAGATTGAGCTTCCCAAATCCCAAAGGATGGCCACTGCCCTTCCTCTTCCAGAGCATGTCTTAGCAAGAAAAACTCCTCCATCTCCGACCCAATCAAAAATTACACAAGAAAATTTGCCCTTAATGTTGTCCTGAAAGAGCCACCTTCTGGAGTAACGTACTGTGATTTGAAGTTTGCTGCTCATCAGTGCCATATTATCCAGTGGCAAACTCTTCCTAAACAGCAACCCGGGCAATGATCTCACCTCCCTTGGACACTCAAGTGCATATTTGTGGAACATTCCCTGAGGGAGATGAAGGTCATCACTGTCCACAGCATTTAATTATGGAGAAATGACTATAGCAGCTGTAAGCACTAAGTCCATTACAGGGGTAATGGCTTCAGCAAGATTTCATACATGTATAAAGGGAAATGGCAAGGCTTTATAGAAAAGTATTAGCTAGACTACAAAGGCTATTTAAATGATTCGCTGACAACTTCTCCTTGTCCCATGGCTTTCAATCATTCTGCTTGCGGGAGCTGAACAACATTTTTAAGAAAAGCATCTTTCTAAATAATGTATATTCAGATATGCTGAAGCTAGTAACAGCTCAGTGTTGAATTTGGCATTTTAAATTCACCTGTCTCTGGAACAGCACTGAGCAGGTGGTGAGGGGTCTGACCTCCAAAGGCATAACTGTGAAGGTACAGTGTAGACTGAGGTTTTCCTTGTTGAGCCCACGTTTTTTTAACTCCATTCACATTTAGCCCGTATAGTGGCTAAAAACTGGTGGGTCTGGATGCATAAATAAGGTTAACAGTGGCCCAGTTTGGATGGAAACCTCTCTTTCTTTCCTCAGCTGCAGGGCAGGGATTGGGGCATAGCGTCTTCCTTTCATGGGGAGCTTGTGCAAGCTGCCTAGTCGTGTGCAAAACCATGATAACAGCCTGAACACTACTTCATTATGCCATGCTGTAGGAGAACTTTTTCCATTTCAGAAGTAGAAAGGAGAAAAATAGACATTTCAAACTTCAGAGAAAATTAGAAAAGACAATTTCAGAATGATAAATTTAAAATATGACCTGAATCTCTCATTCAGATACATCACGTGTTCTGTTCTCTACATTCTGTGTTGCTCAAGAAATACAGTTCCCTGCAGTGCAGGAATCAGCACCCCGAGATAATCTGGAAGATTAGGAGTGACTTGATTTTCAGTTCTGCATTTGTAGTCGTGACATCGTGGCTTCAGTGAAGTATCCAGGCAACAAGCCCGTCTTCATGATTAGCAGCATGATACCTGCCTGAACAAAAGCTCATGCACACAGATCTAATGAGGCTGGTGCTAGGGAAAAGGAGCATTAAAAAATTAATTAGGATATGCTTTTTGAAACACCTTATTCTTTCTTGCTGCTGTATCACCTGCAACGTGCAGCATGGCTCAGGGAAGGCTGTAGCCAGATATAGTTACAGAACATCTGCTGGAGAACAAAGTGTGAGTGTCTCTGCAGAGCGGGTCACGGTGCTGGTGGGAGGTTTGGCGTGGCACTGATAGCTCTGACTGCTCACACGCAGTGAATCTTGCATAAGAACAAGGAGGTCACTGCAGTGTGCCACAGGAGCTGGTGGCAGCGCTGATTACCCAATTGTCTTAATTGTGGGTAGCCCTATTTTAACCCCTTCTCTGAAAGGCACAAGGAGGAACACAGTTTGTCTCCTAGAGTGTAGTTTTAGTGCTTGGAACACCTGCAATGGTGGTGGCTTCCTCAGGCAGGAATGCCACCTACGTGTCAGCCAGGAGGCACAAATCACATTGCAGCCACTGCTGTAGTGGGGTTTGGCTTGGTAGATAGAGTGTGATTGGATATGGCTGGGATGTGCACATCAAACCGTAGTTACAGCTTTGCCCTAGTTTCTCAAAATTATTTTTTGTGTTTGCTTCACTGTAAGCATACAGCAGCTATTCGATTTGAAATGCTTGTTGGGCTAACATGCCCTGTACAAACTGCAAAAGGTGGCTTAATTCAAGTGACTATGTGTTCTGAAAACCAATGAAGTTCCTATCTATATTTTCTCACCCCAAATAATTACACAGATGCTCATAAAGCAAAAGATTTAATTACATAGTCCCTTTAGTTTGCTGATATTACTGTGTATACAATGAAGAAAATAATTAAAGTAGATGTGTACTGAAAAAGAATTCTGGTACAAGTATGCTTCAGAAAAATTGCTCACACACCTGCCCAGCTCCCTGAAATGACTGCTTTTAACCCCAGACACACACGTCTCACTTTGAGATCAGAGGTACAGAGTTCAGATAAGAGAGATATTATGCAGTAAATATTCCACACAGGCTCCCAAATGAGAAGCATTCTTAGTTATAACTCTAAAGCATAGAGATTTTTCTCCTTTGTTTAGGTGTGAAAGCTATGGAGAGCTGGAAACCCCAGTCAAAGCTGAATGCTGTGACTCTCTAGGGGAACTGCTGGCATGCCTCTTCCCAGCAACTACAGCAGCTCCCACAGGGACCCCAGTGACAGAGATGTGTTCAGGAGCTCCTGGCTGTGGGTCCCAGTGGGGAGCATGTTTGTTATACTCACCTGCATTTGTGAGCTACCTCCACAGAAGTAATGTGCTTTGCTTTTACTGTAGGCAAGCTGAAAGGTAAAGTTGCATTGCAAGCCATATGAGAAGGTGAAATCTTTGATCGCAGTCAGAGATGAGGTGAAACAGCAGACTGCAGTGACAGGCTGGGCACAGGTTGGGGGTTCCTGGGAATACAATGAGATGTAACATCAAGTTTCCTTTTTGCCTGTCATTCAGGAGTGAGCTTGAGGGCTATCAGCTGAACCACTGGAAGGAGGGTCTTCACAGAGTCATAGAATGAACCACTGCAGATCTTTGCTTATACCTACCGCTGTGATAAACAGCAGCAGATCCTTTCTCTCCTCTTCCTGCTTTTAAACACAGCACTTGCCCCCAACACAAATGTCATGAATGGAGACTTTCTTTCTCTGCGGGAGGTTCTCTGAATTTATATGCTTGCCCCATTCCTTCATGAGCAAATTCATTCAACTTTATGTGACCCGCCTGCCAAACCCAATGTTCTTGTAAGTGGCAACATTTTCTAAGTCCAGTGATTTATTCACTGTACTCTCATCCGCTCCCAGGCTCCAGATTGCTGTTGATGCTCTAGATGGTCCTTGCTTGGCAAACAAGTAAATGACAGTGTGTATGAATGTAGCTCAAACCACATTTTCTTGCTTGCTTCACAGCTTACCTAAAAAATGTTTATGAGACTATGGACATGGGGATGAGGTGCATCAGCAAGGGCAGAACCTCAGACCTTTTTGTTTTTTTTCCTGAATTTATTGTATTCGTACAATAATGGGATTTCTACTGAGCAACATGAACATCTCACCTTTCCTAAGTCCTGAGAGGAGATCTGAAGAGACTGCGGGGAAGGGGTAAATGGTTACATGGTCTGTTAAGGAAAATACCCCAGAGGAGAAGGTTGTATTCTGGAGAGGTAATGATCCAGCAGAGGCTGAAACATTTGCTGTCATTTTCTGCTTCAAACTTCCTAGAAAGGATAATTATAACCAGATGTTGAGCACAATTGAAACAAATAACAAGGGGATTGGAGACCTGGAGCGGAATAAGGAAAGGAAAGCTTAAGGAATATTTAGATAGCTCTGACATGTTCCAGCCTGCATAATCAAACAAAATTCACCTGTAAGGTCTTAAGAACCCATTCAAAGCCATTCCTGAGCTATTATTCCTTTCGGGTAGCTATGGAATAAGAGGGGCAGGAGGGAAAGAACAGGGGAACGCTTATTACCTGTCTTGCAAGGAAAGCCAAGGAATTTAAATCAATATGCCTAACTCTGATTCCTGGAAAGATCTCTGGAACAAATCACTGAAACATCAATCTATAGTTGGCCACAGATAGGTCAGTTGATATAAAATACACTGCAGGATTTTGTCAAAAGCGAACCATGTCAGTCCGTTCCAATTTTAATTATTTGGCCCAGTGGTTAAGGGACACAAACTTATTTGTAGGAAGACTTTGGGCAGTTTCCTACAAAATGTACTCAGTTGTGCACCAGGGAAATGTTCTGGGCTTCACCATGAGAACAGGCCCAGCTACCTGCTAAGCTGGAATGGTGAAAGCTGAGCCTGAGCAGTGAGATCCAGGGGAGGTGTGCTCAGCCCATATCTGGGTCAGGGTGTGAAAGAACAGCTTGAATGATGGAGAAGGGAGAGCAGTTGTGAGATGTCTGAAGAAAGCCAAGCTGATAGGGCTTGCAAGACATTTGGAAATCAGGCTCATCATTCAAAATGATGTTGATGACTGAGAAAAGTGCCCTGAAATCCTCAAGATGACATCAAGTAAGAAGATCAAAGTACTGCTACTGAGGGGAAGTTATTGCAAAAAAGAAAAAAAATAAAAAGGTATAAACTACCCATGAAAACACTAGAAAACTAGGACACGTGTATTATAGGATGAAATCCTGAAATGGCTTTCCAATAGATGTGCAAATGTCAGGAAATCCTTACTGGGTTCAGGATGAAAATGGGCAGTTTCAGGGAGAGACCTAGGGGTGGTTGCAGGCTGCCAGGCTGACTGAGCCGGGAGCTTCATTGCTGATGTCTTCCATTTGATTCTCTGTAATGTATAGTGGCAGCTACACTGATCTTGTGAGGCTTCACCTGGAGTTGCTGGGTTCAGCCTTAGGAGCCCTACTTTGTAGAAGATAGGAGAAATGGAGAGAGATCTAGGACACAGCAACTTGAGTGAGAAAAAGGGGGAAAAAAACATGAGTTTAAGGAAATGCTCAGTTCATTTACAGTGGAAAAAAACAGGGGTGCAGGTAGTTATGATATCCACTCCATATCCACTGCTGGATAACCTCAGCTGAAGAAAATGAACTGGAAGTTGGAAGAAAGCTGTAGAATTCATCTTTCAAAACACAAGGACAGCTATGTTTTCAGACAAGATCCTTTGAGTTTAGGGTCCCACAAGGTGAAGAATTTCACCTGTCCAGTAGCCATGTGGTTGCCAGGAGCAGCAGGGATATTCTTCCAGCAGGAAGATCCCACAATGCCTGATTCACCCTGAAACCACAGGCAGGTTCCATGTCTTCAGGAGGTCCCTTCAGCCTGGTGCTTCTGTGAGTCAGCTGTGCTAAAAGCAGGCTGCAGCTGTGTGCTGTGAACCTGAGTCCATGATGGTGCCAATGGAAGAGGTCTCAGTCAACTTAATGGTGAGTCTTTCATCTTCCTCTGATCCCTACAGCTTTAATGGGTGGTATTTTCTCAAAATTTGCTCACACACCAGAGGGCACAGGCAGTAAAAATCCCATATGCTCTCAGTCTCTGACCACAGTGATGTGATACTTTCATAATTTTCTTTCAGACATATCTTAAAGAAATCTCATCATAGTGACCATATTCAAAATCTCATTAAACTTAGTCCTACCTAGTACCTCCAAGTATCTCTTCAGTTCACAGTCCTGAAACAAATTCTTTTTGAAGGGTAAGAACTGGTGCTGGAATGACAGGGAAAAGGACATGGGTGTGAAGGAGAGGGCAAACCATCACTACTGGGAGGATTAATTCCCACACAGAGGTTGAAGCTTGGGGAAAGGAGAAGGAACCCAGGATTTAACAGTAAACAACTGTCAAGGAAAAACTGTTGTTTCACCATTTGCAAGACTGAAACTGCAGTGTTTAACGATCTCTGTTCAATCTCCTAATAAATTATTTTCTTCAATTAGCTTGCACAGTGAAACAGCTATGACTTGTTGGAGCTCTGAATGGGCTGATGAATGTTCTCAGGCTTAATGACTGCCCGTGCCCTTGCTGCTCCCTCAGCCCGTTGTTCATCACTGCCAACTTTCCCTCTCCAGGATGCTGTTTATCTGACAATCAGGGGCACTGCCACTGAAGCATTTCTAAAAAGATTATTTTGCTAATTATTCAGAGGTCATTAATTGGAAGGTGAAGCCAGCACTGTCCCTAAGCTTTGAACTCCCTGGTGATACAAGAATGTTCCTGTTATACCAAGACCGTATTTTTTTTATTCCACAGCACTTAATCTCCTCCCATCCTTTGAAGGAATGTTCCAGTTCCTGCAGATGTCCTTTGTTAGGAAGAAATGGAAGTTTCCTGCCTTTTAATCCAAGGTATGTTTAATAACCATAGCAAGCTGAGGACATTTCTCCTGCCTTTTCTCATCAATATGTCATGAGGGTAAAAATGCACAAGCAAATGCCCAGCACCTGCACAGGTGAACCCAAATGGGCTTGTCAGCATTGTCCACACACAGGCACTGCAGCTACCAGTGCAAACGCAGGTGGATTTTTGCTTCTTCCCTGATAACTGTGAGGGTTTGTAGAAATAAAAATGGTTTAATAGTCACCTGTGGGCTGGTTAAAGGGCAGGAGAGCAAGGGATCTGCTTGTGTCTATAAATCATCCTGAGAGATTTTGAGGAGTGAGCATGGCCCCTATTGTCAGAGTCAGACCTCTCTGGTGAAGATAGGCAGTCTGCTTAACCTGTGGGGCATTTCTCAGGCATTTCTGCTCTTACCAGCTGCTTCCTTCTGAGAAAACATTATTTTTGGTGCCCCATTCACTTCACACAACTCTTTTGTTTATTGTGATGGGAATCACCCAGGAAAGGGTCCTTAGGAAGGGATCATCAGGGAGACAGGAGGAATCTGAGGACACCTGCTCTGAAGTTTCCTCCAAACAAGGGATTTAGCTCTGTAGTGCTTTTGCTTAATATAACTACTGCATGATTCCATTCTCTGCTGAATTTACAAAGAAACTTGAAGCCAAATCCCTTTGATCAAAAAGCAATCCATCCTTACCATCTTATGATACGTAAATGGCTTGAAATACACACTGCTGGATAAACTAAAATAAAAAATACTGACTAAAGGAAACCTATGTTTATTAAATAAAGCAAGAATAAGGATGACCGAAAAAGGGAATTATGAAAGAGACAAGGTAATAAAAGCAGGAATGTAGCAGGCTGCATGTTTCCCAGTTCTTTGAGCTGTCTTACCTAGGAGATATGGGTTTGATGTGCCAAGAGGGCTTCCCCCTGCTCACTGTGACACTACAGACACAAATACCACAAAAAGCAATTCTTGAAAATTCCTTTGGGAAGGTTCTCAATACACCAATACCACTCTAGGTCTTTCTGAGCATTCTGGCTGCAGGCTGCTGGGGACAGGTTAGGGCTGTGCTGTGCTACTGCTGCTTGGCTTCTCAGTGGTAGAAACACTGGGACCTATCACCAACAAGTTTGGGACACTGAGGTGGGGCTGTTGGAGGGGTCTATTGGGTCCCAGGCTTGCTGACTCTGCTGCTCACAGCGCAATTTGTTCAACCAAAACATGCTGTGGGCAGTGAGTCCCTTCTGGAGAGGCATGGAGGACACAGTGTGACAGTTGTCCTTATCTGCAAATCTCTGTTGTCTGGTCTGCAGCTCTTTAAAGCACTATCTCTGCCACTAACTCAGTTTCCAGCCCTGTAATTACTGAACATCGCTTCATGCGCATATTTATTGCTCTGAAGTCCCCACCAGGCCAACAGCCACGAGTTCCCCAGATGCTGTTTGCCCAATCTCTGGACTGCAGCCTTGCAGTGTAGTCAACAATGTTCACAATTAAAGAATGTAACTACAGAAATAGGCAGTCTCAATAGTAGGAAGTAAAAAAACAAGATACAGCTCCCTGCAGGGCTGCTGCAGTCTGGCTCAGGCAACTGCACCAAGTGCTGATGGAAGGTGAGGGCTGGGTTCTGCATGTACAGCCTGACTTCAGAATTAGATTGGATTTAAGGAAACTTTTTAATGATAAGAGTAGTGAAACACTGGAACAGGTTGCCCAGAGAGGTGGGTGATACCTTGTCCTTGGAGACATTCAAGGTCAGGCTGGTCCAGGCTCTGAGCGATTTGATTGAGCTGTAGGTGTCCCTGTTCATTGCAGGGGAAATTTGGGTTGTCTCCTCCCATTATGAATGTGTCCCGATCATATATTTGTATGTTTTGAAAGGAAATTTGTCGGGAGCACTAATTCACTCCCACAGCCCCAAGGCTCTTCTCACTGCTGAGCCCCCCTGCTTTTCCAGTGCCTTCAGTGTTGCCACTGACGTGATCAATCCCTTTTATAGGGCTATGGGGAAGGTCGATTCCTCTTGATGCATAGCAAACCTTCTAGATTGCTTGTAGGCCTGGCTGGAAAGGCATTATGAATACTGGCTGCAGACAAATTCTTGGCTGTGGACTAATTGTTAGTATCATGGATCTAAGCCTAGAAAGAAGGAAGTGTCATGGGAGAAACAGGGCAGCAGTATGGGCTGGCTCCTTGAACCACAGGCTGGAGGTTGGCTGTGTCCTCCTAGAGCATGGGAAGAGTGAACTGTATCCACTGGTGAAGAGCTGGGCACACACTGTCCGCTGGGAAAAGCTGGAGCTCCATCTGCAGAGGGGACATCACCTGCCATATAATCCAACAGTGGCTTGTGGATATTCTGCAAACCAAATGGGACTAACACTCAATGTGCATCATCCAAACACTATGCTGGGGGGGATCTTAAGTTCCTCCCCCACCCTCCAGCCCTCACAGCCATGCACCCACAGCACAACAGCACCTGTGCCTCAGCTCCTTGCTTCAGGCTCCCTCTTGCCTCTGATTAGCAATTCTGCAGCAGTGAAACTGCGATGCAGCATAAGCCAGGTTTAGACAGTGATCCATTTAAACAAGCATGATCTCTGTTAGAACAGCTTTCTTAAATCCTGAGATAGATGCTGCTACTTGCACTAAATTGTTTTTCTATGTATTAGCTATTTAGTGGCATTAGCATAACGTGCATTCCCATTTACGGAAGAAGTGTTTATCTGTGTGGTTTCACAAAAAAAGTGGGCTTGATTAATTAAAAAAGGATGAGATTGCTGTGAGGATTTAAATGTAAATGCACCAACAGATGCTTCCTGATCCTCCCAGCAGAGCACATCACTTTTAATAAACCCAGAGCAGATGGCTGACTGCAGTGGCAAAGCTGTGAGGTACTGATGTGCTCCAAGCTCCCTTCGTGCTGCCTCTGTCCTCATGTCTGGGAGCTGGAGGGCTGCATTCCTACCTACAGTCCCCTAGCAGAGCTGCTTGTGCCCCAGGGGTGCTGTGCCTACCTACTGCAGCTCAGAATGCTTCCCAGGGCACCCAGGGCTTCTGCTTCCCAGGCAGAGCTGGAATTCTGCTGGAGTGCAGAGTTGTGCCTAGATCAGTGAGGCTGCATAAGCAGCAGGAGATGGAGCATCTAGTTAAAATTATAGGCGTTCCTCTCTCTTCTCCATGGGAGCTGGCTCCTGCTGGTTCCTAAAAGGGATGTTGGCATGAACCAAGCCTGCCTGGCTGAAGTGTCTTCCCTCAATCACTCACTGTGCCAAAATCACCACTGAAGCTGTTTAGGTGTTTGCATGCTCTCTTCTCCAAAACACAGCATGATGAATCCATTTAAAATAAAAAGATTAAGGAATATGAATAGTCATTGTTTACTTGGGGCTTGCATCTCAGTATCCCAGAGCTCTCCCCAATGACACGGATATACCACCAGCATTTATTCCAAGGAATAATCCGAGCTGTTAGATGTGGAATGAAATAGCAAAGCTGAGTGTAGGATTCAGATCCGTAATGTTTTATCACAAACTGAAATACCTTTCCTATTTTGGCGCACCCATTACATGCAGCCAGCACAGTTAGTGCTGGTTTGAGCTAAACTGTGCAATGTGCTGTCTGATCCCTGCACAAGGATTTACTCCTGCTGCAGCCCAGTACCTCTGCTGGCAGTGACTGCTGGCACTGCTGGCTGGCAGGTGAGTTCTGGAAGAGCACAAGTGCCTTCTGGATAGGGAAAAGGAGCTCTGTGGTTCAGTAGGAAATCAAAGCCAATTTTCTCACAGTGGGGAGATGAGTTAAGTAGGTCCTCCCCATCCCTGGCTATCACTAAGAGAAAAGAGCTTTTGTTCTGTTGCACTGCATAGCTCCAGTGATACTAGCAACTATTGCAAAGACTGTAGAGGGAACTAGGACAACAGACTGACTTCAAGGTTTCTTTAACATTTGCAATTCAAGTGATGTAACCAGAGGCAAATACAGACTTAGCTGCATAAAATGAATTAGGCCTTATGAACAGTATGGAAGATGGGGAACACTTGGAATGTATCTGGCAAAATTTCCAGTGTGAAATCTTCATGATGATAAGGACCAGCATCAGGAAGATCATAGAATCATAGACGTGCCCTGCTCTCTGGCTTTGGTTCACTGCAGACTGCTCAGCAGGAAGGCATAGGAGGATGATCTAGGTGATAACTAGATGGTCTTAAAGGTCTTTTCTGACCTTAATGATTCTGTGATTCTATGACATACTAAGCAAAAAACCAACGTCTATGCTGAGGCTGCTATTGAAACAACCCCCTTTTGCCAAAGCACAAGAGTAAAAGGGGGGTGGCTATTCATCAGAATGAATGGCAAACTGGCAGCAGGGTTCAGAGGATCCTCCTGGAGAGGGCAAAGAATTGTGAGCTCAAGAAATCCTCATCTGTGTCCCTGTTACAAAGAAATCCCCTACAGAGTCTTGGATGAGCCAGGTTGGGTCACTGTACCCACCTGTCGATAGATGAGAGAAGATACCTTGGAACACCCAAGTTGTACTTTACACCAGGTGAATCATTTCTGATACTGGCGAAGTGCTGTGGAGACATGGTGTGCAGGGCAAATGCAGGATGCAATTAAGCCCTCTGGAATTAAAATTAAAGAATTGGGTCAATGGTTTTAAAGAAAAGCGGATGGATAGCAGGGATGAGGTAAATAAAGATGCCAGCTAGGATATTTTGGAGAGGAGAAAAGAAGGCATAGGCAATGGGCATTACTGAAAGGAACAGAGAGGTTTGAGTGGTTCTGCCCAGCATCGCTGTGTGTGGGTGCCATGGACCTTGGCTAGCACTGCCTCTGTGTACTGCACAAGCTCCCATAGTGCAAGGGGAAACATCAGCTTCCGTGTTGACCACCTCAACAGACTTCTATGAAATGTTGTCCCTCCTCAATTCCGTTTCAAAGCTAAAATATTATTGTATATTGAAAGTATAAAATTAAGATAAGCACAATGAGATTGATACTGGGGATTTTAAAAAATACTTCATAAAACTTCGTCTCTGTATAATGGAGGGCTTGCTGCTGGATGAATGCCTGTCTTGGGAAGTTCTTTATTTTAAGCATCCATTTATCACTGTCTCAGGTACTGTAAACTGCAAGCACTCATTGACAGCAGAATGAACTTTCCTGTGAGTACAAACTCATCATTCAGCTCTAATGATCCAGAGGAAAGTTTCAGAATAATCCATACAGGAAAAATGGCTGTGTCACCTCAGAACGTCAGTAAGAATAGGAACTCTGTGCAAGGTCATCCCGGTGGGAAGGAACAGCCCTGTTTGTTCTTGCAGAAGCACCTAATGTGTTCAAGGCCAGGTTGGATGGGGCCCTGGGCAGCCTGATCTGGTGGTTGACAACCCTGCCCACAGCAGGATGGAGCTCTTTAAGATCCCTTCCAACCTAAGCCATTCTGTGATTCAGTGATGTATCTGAAGGTTTTGAAGCCAAGACCATCGGTCCTGCCAGAGTGAAGAGTTTGTGCCCAGGTGATCCCCCATTCCATGTGAGTCCTGTGGAATTTAGGAGTGGATGTGAGTTCCTCACAGAGAGTCTCACAAAAAGTAAAATTATATAGAACATAAAGCATCCAGTTATTCACTCAGTGATCTTGTCAACAGTGATTAAGCACGTTAGCAGGTCATTTGTGGAGGTAAGGCAATGCTTCTAATATTGGAGATGAAAATTACAAAACAAGACCCTTCAAGTGGGGAAGTACCTTCTCTTGAGGAATAGGCAGAGAGGGACATGGAAGGGGGGCTGCCTCTGGGCAGGGCAAACCCAGCAGCTGGTGTACCTGAACCAAGGCCCTTGCTTGCTGAAACTGCACTACTGCCTTGTTCAGTGGTGGTTTTATTGTACCCTTGAGGGTCTGACTTCTCTGATTAGCTTTTTTGTTACATAGGAGCAATACATAAAGATTTCCGTTTCTCATCTCTGGCTAAATAGAAGATAACAGCTTCATTAGGCAATTGAGTGCTCTTCCAATCAAACAGCAATATTCTGGCCCCTGGGAGCTTTCCTTAACCACAGAATGCAAGCAGCTGTTCTAATTGCACTGTGCTTGGGGCCCACTGCAAGGGCAATCAGGGCTGCTGGTTTTCCTGATTGTATCTTGTGAGCAGAGCAGAAGCAGTTCTGTGCCTTCGCTCCCCTTTTACAGTGAGGATTTCCAGAGGACCCCTCTACAGTTCTGATTAATGAAAATGCTCTTGGAATATTAAAAAATAATTTCTCTGTCAAGGAATAAACCCCAGAATGTTGATGACTTGAAATGCTTAGATGTAAAAATTGTAAGTGAAATGAAATGAAGTAGTAAAATAAAGGTCTTGTACTTGGGAGTGTGTGAGCAAGGGTGGGAAGATCAAGGCTGAACACCTGTTTTCTTTCTGTGACTGTTGTTGTGGCTGTGTACTTGATCTTTATAAAGAGCTAATGAACCATCAATAGATGCAATAAGCATGTTAAAAACATGAGTATCCTGTGATCCAGATGGCAGTAAACATGCTGGTTGATGGTGATAGAAATGGACTTCAGGACAGTTATAAATAGAGCTGATTAAAATATGAAAAAAGGTTCTGCAAAGCAGAACAACCAAAGTTGTTTTCAGATCAAAGAGTTTGGAATATGCACTCTTACGTATATATATATTAAAGTTTAGAAAATACTCCATTCTGATTCCACTGTTACCTGTTAAAAATATCGCAGAAATTGATATTAATAATTTGCATAGATGAAACACCTTTAAAATGGATTGACAGTGTCTTCTCAAGGAGGGAGCAGAATTTCTCTTGGGAGATGAGATTCTGCAGACCCTCTGATCCTTTGTCCATGATAGGCTTGTGACTATTTCTGCACACTTTGCAAGAAATTCAAAGCAAGTCAGATCCTGTTTACATATATTGTTATACCACCTGCTCTGACTTCTAAAATAGCAGTTATTAGCATCACCTGATGGGTATTACAGAGCTCCAAAGCCATTGTAAAAGTCCATTGCAGTGGACAGCAGGCATCATCTCCATCACTAGTAGCAGGGGAAAGTGAAAGCACCCAACACAGGCACAGACAGCAGGGGTAAGCCAAAACAAATCTGCAAAATCATGGAAGCATTTCTAGGCAGATATGCTGGTTTGCTATGTTTCCTGTCATGAAGGAGGAGGTTCTCGTTAGAGCTTTTTAAGAGACCTTGAGCTGCAGCAGATGCCACCTGTGTATGGAGCAGAGCAGAAGTGAGTAACAGCACCTCTGTGACAGACACTCAGATCCCTCAGGGCTTCCTGCTTTTACATCTGCCATGGCTGGAGAAAACTAGCTGTCATAAGTTATAGTTTAGATTTATATTATTGCAGGAATGTCCTTATCACAAAAGAAAACAATGGGAGGAAATCACCTTTCTCATGGAAACTGCTGAGAGATTCCCCACTGCAAGGAGAAAACTGGTGACAGAAGGGCGCTACATCAAAAGTAAAGGGAAAACATGGAGAAAATGACTCTCCTGCACCCAGGTGAGCATAGCAGCAGTATTAATTAATAAGAATGCTCATTTGTTGATAACTGATGCATGTAATCCTTTGTTTTCAGTCTCCCAAAGGTAAATGTGTAGGGATATGACCTGAAAGCTCTGGGAGGTCACGCTGTGCCCTGTAATCAGAGCTGCCTCTGGGACATGCTCCCCAAACTCCTTCCTTGCAGAATCTCAGGCTGCCTGATGCCTTCTGATGCTCAGTGACGAGAACAGCGCTGCCTGTATGAGGCAGCAGCCCCAGTGCCAGGTGCAGGACTCAGCCCCAAATTCACTGAAATGTGAAGGAGTGTTCCTATTGATCTGTGTATGTTTGGATTCAAGCTTTTAATTAATGATTTGTTTAGAAATGTAGTTAATGAATGTGTTCCTTACACACCCAGTGGTTCACTGCATGAACCTGTATCAAACAACACAGCTGCAACATTCCCCTCAGTGTAGGAAGTCATGTACTCTCTGCAGGTTTAAATATAAAGTGAGAGTGCTCATTTATCTTCTCCGCCTTCATTTCTGCTCTGGTGAGGTTGCACAACAGCAATTGCTTCTTACACAGCATGAAACACATACAAAGATTATGCTGTGTTTGTGGTTATCTAGCTGTCTCCATGAAACAAAAAGCCACTGAGAGTCAGCAGACATTGTTTCAGCAAACCAAAACAAAATAAAACACTAAAAACAGAGGGAATAGCATGGTCAGGCTTTTCTTTCCTTCTTTGCCTTCCTTTCTTCCTTCCCTCCTTCCTCTTTCTCCTAGTGTGGTTTGTCCTGAAACTTTCCCCTCAGCATTTAGAGGCAGAAACTGAGTCTGAACTCAGCTTAGCACAAAGGCAGAGGGGATCTGCACAAGGTCAGTGACAAAATCCCAAACCCAGCACATGGCTGTCCATTGCTCCATGGCTTTGGTTGGTGAGAAAGGAAATTGGAGCTCCTGTGTGGTGAGGAAAAGCTCAGTAGCAGTAATTTAAGATTCTCTGGCTGTTCCCCAAGCTCTGTGCTGATGCTTTTAGGCAGTTTAATACCTGAAGGGTTACCTCCTCCTGTTCTCTGTTTAATACCGCAGGAAAAGGTTTGCTTTACCTGTAGAGAGAACATTTATTATCTGGCGTTAACTTGCAATTTAGTGTTTGGAAACTGCCTTATCAATAGAACATCTGGGGGAAGAGCCATCTGCACTGCAAAGGGTGCTCATAGCCCTGCTCAGGCTGAGCAGAATGGATAGATGGAGAGAAGGGCCAAGAGATTAACAAGGAGAATGGAGCAGCAGTAGAAGCTTTTTCTTGCCACATGAAGACCATCAGATTTTGTGATACATGCTGAGACTATGCTGTGCCCTATTGCTGGCATGTCTGAGTGCCAGAACCCCTCCCTGGTCTCTCCATGATGTCTTTATACAAGGGAATAAATCTATCTTGAAGGCATACATACTCCTGAAGCACCTGTGTACAGTGATTGCTGAAATGGAAACAAGTCTTTCAGGTTTCCCCTTCAGAGTTTCTGTAACAAAAATGAGTGAAGGCTGAAAATGCCCAGGAAAGCAGGACACAGCACCATCTCTTCACTGTGCTACCCATGCTGTAGGTAATTTGTCTGTAGGACTCACTGGCTGATAGTCCAGTTTGAAGGAGCTGTATGAACAATCAGAATACAGAGATAATTTCTCTTGGAAAGGAGATGAGCAAGAGAAACTTGTAGATGCCCATAAAAGCCTTGCTGGTCTGGGAAAGTGTTTTCAAGACCTAAGTCTGGCTTTTGTGGCTGGCACTTTTGGGGAACAGAGGGGTACAGGAAGAAGAAGCTCAGATGACTGTTCCCCACCACTCCTCCTGCAGCAGCAGGAAAGTAAGCTACGTCCAGCCTTCCTTTCATCTTCTCACGTGCAGCATTTCCAGTGTAAGCCAAAGAGATCAAAGAAAGCACCTAAAATGGGAACTGCTTATGCATTCCACAATCCTAAAATCTGCTGTCAGAGAAATGTCCTTTTGATTTTTTTTTTTTTAATTTTTTTTCAAATTACAGGTTTTGTCACTTGATCTATATGGATTGGGAAAGTTAGCATAAGTTCACCTGATTTACGCCTCCAGAAACATTGCAACCATGCTCATATGTTTTGATCAGAGTGTAACTCATGGGACTGCGTACCTCTGTATCTCCCCTGGTGTTCTCTGAGCAACTGAAGTGGACAGACAGTTTGGGAAGATTCAGGAAAGAAGGAGAAGATGTTTAAAGGCAGAAAGTGAGGCATAAGATTAAGCAGTACAAAATATACCAGACAGTCACTGTCTTTTAATATACATAATCCAGGACAACGCCGATGCTGTCTGTGGGTCCATGTGTTGGCTGTGAGCTGAAGGTAGTGTGAGGGCAATATGGTCAGTTTATGGACTCCCTGGAAAGGAGTGCAGGTACAAAGTCCTGAATCACTCTCACTGTGGTTTGTTGGTGGTGATGGTAGTTTTTTCCCCCATATTATTTTAAGATTAAAAATGAGAAAAGATTTGCTAAGTCTGTCTATGTAAATTTTTCAATTCCAAACCTATAATTCCATATTTTCCATTTAAAGAACAGTTTTTCCCTTTTATTTTAAGTAAACAAACAAATAAGTAGAAAATCAAGCCCCTTAACTAATTAATGGTGCCTTTTTGGCATAACTAACTCTCACCAATTTTGTCAGTGCCTGAGGGCAATAAATAGGACTATCTGTCTCTTACTCTGGGGATAAGTAAACATTGAGTAATATCAGTGGTTTTCTCATAAACTTGTTGAAGACCATTCTGAAACTAGAAAATTGTTTGGGGTTACTTAATATTGACATTAGCATGACACAGACTTCATTATCACAAGTCAAATAAAATCATATCCATGGAATAATCAGTAATTTCCTGAGGAAGCTGTTGGAGATTATTTTGGCTGGGGAGAACCCCCATTTCCAGCTTTTCTTACTGATTCAGTTGGGCTTACAGGAATAAGCAAGGTCTTGCTGTAAGTGTTGGATACACTGACCAAAGCATTTGAGGAGTATGACTTTTTCCAGGCTGGTGTTTGAATGGTGTTAAGAAAAACTATATTGAAAAATAAGCTCTTCGTAAGGGAGCCCAGATGGTATTCTCTGATTGCTATGGAGAAGTCTCTTCTCCCAATAGGGAACATAACTCATCTGCCCCAATGAGAGCTGTACATGCCAGGCAAGGATGGGAACAGATAGACAGAGCAGCAGCCACTGTCAACTTTATGCACAGTGTTGGGCTTTGCTGGTTGTGTGCAAGTAAAACTTTGAACAGGAAAATCAATTAAGTTCAAGTTGGTGCAATCAAAGTCTAGATGAAGAAAATCAAAATAAATCAACATCAGTTTGCCTCTGACCTGGAAAAGAGAAGTGCCTTTTAACAGTGTAGATGGATATTCACAACAGCAATCTGAGCTTTGAAACTTGTTTCTATTTACAGGCATACGAGAGTGGTTTGTGTTGGGGAACTGAGAAGTGAGCATAGTTGACTAATGTAGCGCAGAAGTATGATTTGAAGTTTTTAGTAGGCCTTCCTGCTACTTTGTCAGTGAGATTACATTCAAGTTTTCAGTCTGTTATCAACTGATTTCATATGCAACAATGTAATTGTTAATTTTTTGCTTAGTAGTCTGTTTGGCACCAGTGCAGGTAGTAGCTGTGCCTTGGCTTCAAACTTTTTTTGATATCTTTGTGAAAATGACACTTTTTCTCTGTCTCAGTTTCCGGATTTGTAAAATCATAGCAGTCTGAAATGTGGTGTCAGTACTTCCAAGTACCAGAGAAGGGTGAATTCTTATTCCAGTTTCAGCCAAGAAATTAGAGAGTTAAGCTTTCAAAGTAGCTCACTCGGAGCCATACTCCTGATCCTTTGGCTTTATTTTCTAAATTCTGGGGAAATAGGTTGCCTTATGTCTTGTCTGAGAATAGCGTTTGAGACAAATGATATTTTTCATATAACAATATGGCCTTTTGGATTGCTCTGTTGTTTGCTCAGCCCAGAGCATGGGCTATGCAGTAGCACTGGTTGTCTACTTCCTTCATTCAGGCATTGCCTTCTCAAATCACCTTTCAGGCAAGTAAGGCAAATATCCTTTTTCTACCACAGTAACCCATCACCCTGCCTGTCTGTTAATGACTGTAAGCAGATAATGGCATATAGCTCTCCATATTCTCACCACACATCATGCACTAGAAATCAGACAGTTACAAGGAAAATAGTTTTTTCTCTCCACAGGCTTAAACAGCCTTTTTTATGAGACAGCAATTGGCCAGAAATGCCAATTTCTACCATCATCACTGTCAGCCACTAAGGACCTACTCCTTTTCTCCATATACTAAAAAACAAGCTACTTAAGACATTCACAGACTTACACTCCTCTTGAAGTCTGTGTCTGGCTTTGCCTTTCTCTGAGTGGCAGACTACCTTCCAATTTTTTATTTGATCACTGTTGCTCTTTGACATAAATCTTTCCCTGACAGTTTTACTTTGACTGTTCCTAATATAGCTGTGCCTAATGAGACAAATTCCAATAGCAGAAGTACTGATTGCTGTATTAACAGTTTCATATCCATTGCCCTGGGGCAATAAATAGAAAAATTAGTATCCAGCATGCTACTATAGTGGAAGAAATCATGCCATACCTGAAAAATATTTAGTTTCTCCATTGCAATGTACTTAAAGGATGCAAGAGCATAGCTTGAGAGAGGAAAATATATAGTCACAAACAGTGCATGTTCTACTATATTTCTCAAAAACAGGGCCTCAGGGAAGAAAAAGGCTTTGTATAAGGGTTAGAACAGAGACAATTTATCATCCTAATAAGATCAGAGTTTATGTGTAAAGATAAGTAAATATTGACTAGGTAAATACAGCCTGATAAACAGATCAATCTGTTTTTCTGTTAGAAATACATAGGAATTAAGAAACCTAATGATGTTCAGTATTTTATAACCGCAGACTAAAATGCTCTGGTGTACCCTGAAGGAGTAGAAGGCCATTGAATATGTCAATAGATAATAAATAAATTGATTATTCCAAAAATGCAAATAAACACACATACAGAAAGGATGTCTGTTGTTCCTGGAGGATTCAGGTTCCCCATACAACAAGAACTGTCATGGATGTTCATTTCATGGTCCTATAAACATATAAACATCAATCAATGTTGTCCACCAAACTCTGTTCAAAAGATTGATTTATTGTCAGCTTTTCTCTGCCATTAAATAGAAAATGCAATAGTCAAGGGGAACTTTGGTTACATGTGAGTGGGCTTTTATAATCTAAATCTGTCTTTTGCGGCATAGATCAGATATTAGAAGATGTTAGAGGACTTTTGAGCATACATTTGAGAATTCGTCTCCATGGCATACTGGAAATCCATGTACTCTCTAGTCTCGTAGAAGAGTTTTTGTCATCTTAGAGCAAGTATGATCTCACTTCCTCTTTGAGTATAGCACTCTCCAGTGAGTGTAACAGGGTAATGTACTTTTCTAAATTTGATTTTCTAATATAAGTCTTAGACTTTTGTGACCTCTGAAATTACTCTAGGAATAATAATCCCCTTGCATAACAGTGGCACTGAATGTCAGGGGTGCACGTTTAAGGGAACAAATCTCTGACTATCTCCTAAAGAAACATTGCAGATACTTCCAAAAGAGATTCAAAGGGCAGCTCTGATAGATATCACATCCAAAGAATAAACAGCCATTTTGTCAAGGACATGGTAATGCTTGTGATTGGTCCAATTGGTCCAATGGTCCAGCATTGGTCCAATGCTAAGAGATTGGTCCAATTCATTACTTCCTCTCCCTCCTATGTGCTGTGTTCAAGTAATTTTGGTTACTCCAACTCTGCAGTGCTCAGCAGTGAGAGTATAGTGTGATGTTATAATTTGTTGTGAACTACTAAACAAAGGATATCAGCATATTGAAATTTGATTGCAGAATCACAGTAGCTGAACAACAACCTCAACAACTTTTGCTATTTACCCTTCTGTTATTCTGCTTCCTAACAAATCTTTCATCAAATAGCTGGAACCTGTCACCTCTATTGGCAAACTGGCTTCATGGTGACCAATTCTCTGGCTACTGACCAGTCTTATGGGCACTCCTATCTTTCGTGGAGACATCTATCAGCCATCTAAAAATATCAACATCTATTCTGAGCTGTTTATCTAGGCCTTCTCTGTGGTCAGTGGAAGGCAAGAGCACCCCTAGTGGGCAAATCTGCCTACAGGTGGCTACGCTGGCTGGGATACAAAAAGTGGCTTTCTTACTTCAGACTATTGGTATGTACATAAACGAAACATATGCAGAATGCTTGTAGATGGCTGTTGTTGGGTGAGGTGCATCTCGCTCTTACCACTTTTGTAAAGTGATAAGATACTCTTCATAATCGTCCTGCTCCTGCTGTGTATAAAGAAGATAGAACAACTCGAGCTTGACATCTTGCTACTGGAATATTTTTCCCAGGTAGCCGGAGAAATCGGGGTCGGTGTGTCGGGTGCTGGAGTGTGGCTGCTTCTTCAGTACTCGGCAGGTGGTGGAGGTTAACGAGCTTGCTGCGTGAGAGGGGAGGAGGGAAAGAGGAGGAGGTGGCTTCCTCCTGACGCCATTTCCGAGGGGCTGACATATATAAATGAGCCGGTTGCTGCAGTGCCCCGTCTAGGATCTTCAGCCAGGACGCTGGCGCAGACACACACAGTGCCGGTCTCCCTCCAGCACCTCGCCGATCCCCCCAAACCAGGGCCAGACTAAAGCTCTGCCCTTCCCCGCACCCCGCCAGCACCATGAGCCCGAGACTTCTCGCCGTCCTGCTGCTGGCCGTGCCAGGTAAGTGGGGCTGAGCGAGCTCCGCGACCCCTCCCCCGCTCCGGGGTTCCGCAGCACTGCGGGCAGAGCCGCCCCCAGCCCGCCGCGCGCCCCGCGCACCTCGCTTCAGCCCGCCGCTTCAGCACCGCGGACAGCGGCTGCCGCAAGGTCACTGCCCGAGGGCCGCGCCGTGCCCTGCTAGTCCCCAGTGCCAGAGCGACCAGGCCCCTTCCCTTCCCTTCCCTTCCCTTCCCTTCCCTTCCCTTCCCTTCCCTTCCCTTCCCTTCCCTTCCCTTCCCTTCATCGGGGGGAGGCACAGTGTGCACACCTAGAGACCACTTCAACCAGAGCCAGATTCCCACCTCCTGCACTCCCATTTTTAGCAGGATAGGATTTCTGTGCTTGTCTCCCAGAGGCAGGGAATAACAAGCTCCTTCTTTTTGCTCTCTCCTAATTTTGCAGCTATCTCCCTTCCTGTGACAAATGAAATGAATAAAGGGGACACTAAGGTAAGAATAAACCTGTAGTGGAAGAGGGAAGCAAAGTTGAAGGATGTGATAATTAACCTCTACTTACCTGGCTTATCTTGGCTGCTCCTACTGAAACACCCTGTAGGAAGTGACAGCTGGGAGGATTTACATGAGAATTGCCCATATCAGGATCCATCCTCCCCAGCTGCCTCCCTACCAGGATTTACCCTTTGCAATTCTACTTTTGGGTACTTGAGCATGATGAGATTGGGCATGGAGGTTGGGTATGACCCTTTCAGGTCCTCCTACTTTCAGTTTTTCAAAGCTTCCAACAGGAGGTGACTCAGGGGAAAGTAGGGGGGAGATATGATTCAGGAATGGGACTGTGTGTGTTTGGAGGCGTGTATACATCTGTCTGCCTTTGTATGCATGTGGTGTGCTACTTCTCTATGTGCCTGAAAAATAGGCAACTGGATACTCTCAGAGTGCTAATCTGTCCTCAGCTACTACTCATTCTGTCAGGATGGATACAAGCTGTGTATGAATTGACTGGCCTTTTCAGCCCTCCTCTGTAGGCTTTTGTGCCTACATCCATGAATCTCTCTGATGTACTTCACACATATGTGCACTCCCAACTGGCTTTTGGCAGCTGAATGCTTGGGTAGTTGTGTTTGCCTGTGTTGATCTGCAGCAGAATCCTCCCATCTCCTTCCTGATGTTACAATACCTGTATTTTTTTTCAGATTAGTTGATCTCTTTACTGTCCAAATTAAGACTTCTACAGGAGTCAATGTACAGAAATCAAACACCAGCCCTTTCCCCTCTGCTTTCTGAGCCTCTTTGTTTCCTGAAATCTTGTAGCTGCACAGGGATTTTCCCCAGGCAGCATTAGGAGAGAGCACACTTGTGTCACTCTCAGACACACATTCTAGAGTATGGTCTCTGGTCAGTGTTATTTACAGACTGAGTGCCATGAGAAACTCCTCCTCATCTCCCGTCAGATGCACCTGGGCCTGAGGAGCTGTTGCTCAGCTAAGACCTTTAGCCTGCTTAGCCCTTCCTAGGGCTGAGCCATTGGGTGCCTGCTTCAGGCTGTACACTGAGAAATGAGGCTCAGGCAAACACCCCTTAAAGTGGGCTGGGCCAGAGCAGGATGCTCATTGGACATTCCATGGGAAATTCTATTAATTCCACAATTTTCCTTGAGAGATCCATTCCATGATATGCTTGATCTGTAAAACATGGCAAGCCCCAGTAAGCTACATTTACGTTTTACGAAAACGAATGCAACTCCATGGAAATCTTCTCCCAAGGAAGAATTATCTCCCAAGTCTGTCCTCAGCTTGGGTACTGCACTGAAATGGGTTTGAACTGAGAGGAAACTTAGACAATACCTAGGCTTTCCTGGCACCAAGGGAGTTGCACATGACCACAGCAGTTACTGTATGCCTGACGTATGCTTACCCTTACATTCAGAAGGCAGTATTTCTCACCTGAAAGCATGTATTTCAGAAAGGGCCTGAGCATAGTTGAGATCAAATGTGGTGAAGTCTTTTCTGGTAAGGCTGTGTTCCTATGAAAATTTCTGTGCAGGGACAATGTGACGAAGTCTTAAGGATTAGTTACATGCTCACAGTTAGAGGACAACTATGGGAAAATTTCAGTCTGAATTTCTGTACTGGATTAATTGATTCTTTTAAATTTTAAGAGAGCTTACAAGCAAGAGGGAGGACTGGTGGGTTTTTTGTTGTTGTTGTTGTTTTGTTTGTTTTGTTTTGTTTTTACTCAGTCTGATAGCGATTAGACAAGGCAAATTGCTTGAAACTGAAAAAGTGTAGGTTAGATGTTAGGTGGAAATTCTTTACTCAGAGGGTGGTGAGGTCCTGGTACAGGCTGCCCTCTGAGAGGTTATGGTGCTTCATCCCTGGAACCATTTAAGACCAGGTTGCATAGGGCCCTGGGCAGCCTTCTTTGGTAGGGGGCAGCCAGCCCATGTCAGGAAGTGGGAGCTGGATGATCTTTAAGATCCCCGCCAGCCTAAACCATTTTATGATTTTGGAAAGGCTCTCCTTCATTTCCTGTAGGTTGTTCTATCATGACCTTTTGAAACCTTACTCTGCAAGATTTGATCTTATAAAAAATTCTGGAAAGTGTTGGGCTGACTGCATTCCTCATTTCATTAAGTTACATTATTTCTCCACAGAGCTGCCATATTTCTGTGGTGGTTGTTACTTTTCTTTGTGCTCTGGCAATGTCCTGAAGTCATTTAGAAATATTCAGGAAGCTTGTTCAGGGTGTTTCATTAGACAGGTTCTCATTTGTAATGATGAGAAACTGCCTCCTTCAGGATCTGTATCAAATACTGGAGAAAAAAAAAAAAAAGGCTTCAAATTTTGGAAAATGTAGAAAGGAAGTATTAGAATCTTTGTTTTGTTTGATATTTGTTTTTTTTCTTCTCTTTATGGTTGGTTGATCGAATTGTCACTAGGTCATTGAAAATCAATATTAATGGGCTGTTTGTGGTATCGGGGAATGATACCAGAGAAATTTCCCTTCTTTCTTTTCGTTACATCTTTCCTGCAACATTTTAAATTCAGCAATAAATCCCCTCAAAATGTGCAAATAGATAAAGAGTTCAAGATTTCCTGTCTGTATCCTGTGAAAGCAGAATTCTCTCCTTACACAGAATGCAAATTTGCCCATTCCGGTTGGTCAATAAATATATCAATTGCTTGAATGAGTGACATTGCAGCTGACTGGGAATTGCTGGCTGGTGTTTAATTTCTACTGCAGCTACAGCGCTCTGCTCTCCTGAGAATGGCACCTTGAGAGGGAGGTGAAGGCCCTGAGGGCTGCCTGCAGAAATGACCAGCTGCCCCAGCCATGCAGCACTAAGTGGCTGCTTGTGTAAAGAGCTAGGGCTGAGTGGGGACGATGAAAATGGTGCCTTCTCATTATACACGGAAGAAAAGGGTTCTGCATAGGGCAGGCCCACTGTCTGTCCAGTCTGGAAAGCTGCCTCAGGCAGTGGCAAATGTATGGGAACTTCCTTGCCTTTAGATGGCCTGACTTCATGTTCAGCTCTTCCAGTTTATAATGAGTTTATTTCATCCAGGAAGTCAAGAACTTCTGCAGAGTGGGTTGCTCTTCTCTAGACCATTAGAGCAGTATTTCTCAACTGCACTTGAGAGTACGATTTGACTTTCCTCACCCTCTATGCCTGGCTGCAGTCTAAGCAGAGTGTCCTCCTCAGGGTTTGAATAAGAGCTACGGACATGTGTTGTTCTCTGTGACCTCCCACTGAGTCCTTTTATCAGGTACAGGTTGAGGCACACTGACTTCAAAAACGATGAATTTGAGTTCAGTATGCATCTATTGAGTATCTCTTGAATCATTCCTTGTGTGCAGCCTGTGGGGTGGGCTGAAGTCATGAGATCCTCAGCTGTGTCAAAGTAGCTCTTTCCACTGCCATGTGTCACTCACACACTGCTCAGTTTAGGGTGGTACCTTCTGTTCTTCTGTTAGGTAAAATGGGAACTGAACATTCCGTTCTGGATCCATCAGAAAGGCAAAAGGATCTGTGCCATCATCTGCTGCATTTCAGCCTAGATAACAGATTGATTTAAGAAAAAAAATAAAAATCGAAGAAGCAGTGCTTTTGTTTGTATTTTGTTTCTTTCTAGGTGATGAAGTGCATCGTGGAGGTCATCTCTGATACTTTATCAAAGCCAAACCCACTGCCGATCAGTGAGGAATGTCTAGAGACGCTCAGAGGAGGTACAGATGTTAATTTAATTCTGGGTATCAGCAAGAGGGGATCAGGCAGAGAGAGAAGCAGGGTCTTGCTCTCCATGGTCCCATCTGACACATGCTCAGGCAACTGGCAACCCAACAATTTCACCTTCCCTGTAGTCACCCCACTGAGCCTCCTTCCTGCCAGGCACAGAGCCAAGAGATGCAGCAAATCAGGCCAGGGGACAGGAACAAGTAAATGAGCAGGGAGATGGAATTTGAGTAGTTTTGTGTTTCCTAAGGGTGGTGGAAAGTTGTCTTTGACCACATTCTGTACCAAGTCTCTCCTATTGCAGATGAACGAATCATTTCTATCCTTCGCCACCAAAATTTACTGAAGGAACTTCAGGAAATTGCGGCTCAAGGTACAGTTTTACTACAGTTGTTTGGGAAGATGGATTTCATCAGTTGTAGCTCCTTGCACAGTTCTTGTAGTTTTATTTTACATTAATTTAATATCATAAAAATGTGTCATAAGGAACACAGTTCCAGGATTTCCAGTGAACACTGCAAGTGTAGGGATACTATTCTTACAATAACTCTAATATGTATCTGATGACTGAAATAACCTGCAGCATAACTTAGTGGCCACATACAGTTTTCCTAGACAGTGTATGTATTATGGGAAAAAACTATTCACAGATCCCCAGCGCAGGACTGCAGGTTGCAGGCAAGGCACATTCAAAGCTGGTGAGGATCCCAGCCAGGTAGTCCTGGCTGCAGCTGCCTGCCTGCCTTCTCCTTCTGCATGGGTTACTCAGCTGGCAGTCCTGCCTTGCCAGGGCATCCTTGTGCCCTGGTGGCACAGCAGCCTGAGATGGCTGGGAGACACTGCCACCAGATTGCCCAGAGAGTAGGGAAGCCACAGAAGCAGCAGGGAGAAATGAGAGGGAAAATGCATGTCAAGAGATCTGTGCAGCTCCCAAAGCAATGTTTTGGTCCTTGCCTAAATCTTATTGTGTGGGGACAGCAGGCAGTGGCCCAGTTAGACTCCAGAGGTGCTCTGATGATCCAGAAGAAAGAAACCTGTGCTCTGGGTTGCTGCACGGGTTGTGCAGGCTGTGTTCTATTGCCATACACACTGTGCAACACAGTGGAGCTCTAGCTTTCTCTTTCCTTGACTGAAACCCATCACACCATTTTGTAATGACGTAACATGAGCTCTCACCAAGAGATCAGTGACTGAGAGTGGGAGCCCAAGGGAAAAACAAAGGCTCCTGCCTCGCTCTCCTCTGTGATGGCTTCAGCTGTTCCTAATCAGTCTGAAAAGCCCACACCCTACAGCCCTGCCCCTTGAAAGGCTGGAGATAACTGAGCTAGTACTGCTGTCTTTGGCCTTTGAGTTAAGTTGTAGAAACAGGCTATGAGCTGGGTTGGGCATGGCTTGCTGAGTATGCAGATTCCATTGGGATGGGGCAGTGTGGGGAGCACTGCTTGCCAGGACAACTGTGCAGTGGTCCCAAGCTCTGTCCTTGAGCTCAAAACTCTCTTCAGATGCCTTCATGAAGCCAGCACTGATGGAGAAGGGTCCCATCACCAGGTGGGAGGGCACGCGGGGCTCCCAGTGCTCACCTCAGGTACGTGGGCAGCATTTGGAAGAAGGCAATTATTATCCTTCGGTATTCCAGTACTTAAGTATTTTGTTGGCCTCAATGTGCTGCAGCTCAGCATCTCCTATTCCCTAGTTCGCCATCAATATTGCTGTTTTCCTAGCAACGTTGCCTCTCTGTTTTCACAGAGACCTTTTTATTCCTACAGATAATGTTTTTGATGATGGCTTTGTTACCGCAGTTGGTTCATGCATCCCCCATTTTACAGTTCCCCTTTGGCAGATTTGTCCATTGCAGAAAATACATGTAGAATTATAAAGAGCACAGCTATTTTGCTGTCTGTACCTTCTGAAAGTACAGAAGGTGCTGCTTTTTGCTACTTTTTGTTTCCCAACACAGGTGCCAATGAGAGAACTCAGCAGCAAAAGAAAAACAGTGGCTTTGAAGATGAACTTTCTGAAGTCCTTGAAAGTCAGAATGATGAGAACAAGCAAAGAGGTCAGTGTCAGCCTCCTGCCGGGGAGTCCAGGCAGGCAGGCTGTAAACAAGGATGTTCTTTCTGACAGCCTTGGTGTGTCCATCTGCTCCTCATCCTCTCCTTAGGTGTCACATGCACCAGCAACTCTGTGTTTGCTTTGGTCTGATATACCAGATAAAACAACATGGCACTTCTGAGCTGTAGTAACCAGTGATGTTCAGGTTACCAACATGATAGTGATTCCCTCCACCTTGCTGCCATACTTAGTGCTTAGGATGAGTCATGACTCTGTACTGAAAGAGATGCAAGAGCAAGGTGGGTCTGTCTTACAGCCTTCTTTGAAAGACTGAAATTAATTAATTTAGGTTATGGTCCCTGCAGTGAAATTTGAGTTCAGTCCACACACAGACATACAAAATACCATTATCCTGAACAGGCCACATTTAGCTCATTTGGAGGCATGCAGTGCTGCAGGAAGGCGGGTTAGTCCACTGCTATCATGCTGGGAGGAGGAGATGCCCATGAGGAGTGTGATGGTTTTTCATCCAGACTCCCCTGTTTGTGAGATGAGCTCTCAAGAGAGGTGTTGTTTCTCACTCTTCTCTGCAGATGTGGCACAACAGCACCCTGAGGAGGAGCAGCCCACAGCATCCCTGGCTGAGCTGGCAGCACAGAAAACCCAGCAAAAGGAAGATGTGAGAGAAGGAGGAAAAAATAGCCTGGAGGTAGGGGAATCTAGGCTGCAGGATGCCAGCCGTAGTGAGAAGGATGACCAGGACGAAGCAGAGAGCAACGAGATCAAGGATGCAGAAGATGCACAGGGAGAAGCAGCTGTGGACAACCATGATGACAAAGATCTGGGTGAGGATGAGCAACAGCAGCGAGGGGAAGGAGAGGAGCAGCACAGAGGCCCCAGGAACAGCCTGGAGCTTGAGGAGGAGGGAGAGCAGCCATCCAGGCAGGGCCAGAGGCAGAGCAAGGAGGAGGCAGCAGAGGAGCACGTGGAACAGGAGGACGATGGAGAAGATGCTCCTGGAGAGGAGGACCCTACTGAAGCAGAGAGATTACTCGATTTGGCTGAGGAGGATGGGGAGGCTGAGGAGATGCAGGAAGATGATGGTATGTATCTTGGATGACTGTGCTGATACCTATCCAGGGTGAGATGAGAGTGCTGAGACAAGCTGATAAGAAGCTTTAAACTCTAAAAGTTCAGGCAGGTGCCTATCAGGTTTTTTACAGAAATATCTCCAGTGACAGTCACCCAGGATCCCTAAACACCTGACCCATGGGCATATGCATGGCAGTAGCACAGACAATGCAGCTGCCTTGCTGTGTGCTGCTCACTTGTCACGTGGGGACAATTCCTTGCCTTTCTGTGAACATCCTCTGTGATTTTGACTGTTATCTTCAGTCCACGTTACTGAGACAGTGACTTGAGAGTGGATATCCCAGAATCCTGGGAAAATGGGGACTAAGTCACCTTACATCACCTCTGAAGTCTTGGTTCAAAGGTGGAGCCCAACCAGGTTAAAGCTCATGCTCACTGTTGTGTGTTATGCTCTTTCAGGTAATGATGATGCTCTGGGATTTGGCAAAGATGAGCAGAGCTCTGAGGAGGAGGAGGAGCAGCCACATGTACTGAGACGAGGAAGGCATCGCCTGGAGGATGAGGGAATGCAGGCAGAGGAGGACACCTTCCAGTCCAGGGATGCCAAAAGTGAGGAAATGGAGGATGAGTCCTCCAGGGAGTGGGAAGACTCCAAGAGATGGAACAAAATGGATGAGCTGGCCAAGCAGCTGACATCAAAGAAGCGCATGGAGGAAAATGATAGTGGAGAAGACCCAGACAGGTCCATGAAAATGGCATTCAGGTCCCACAAGTATGACTTCAGTAGCCCAGAGGAAGATGTGAGAAGGTCATGGAAGCATCACTCGAAGGAGGACAGCAGTGAAGGATTTCCGCTTGCTCCCATGCCTGAAGAAAAGAAGGATGAGGAAGGCAGTGCTAACAGGAGAACAGAGGTTGGTGTACATAGGCTTAACCGACTGGTTATTACTTGGGAATCCAAACTGTGCTAATGGAAAATAAGGATGATGCCTTAGTGTTATGCAGCCCATATTGGTTCTCTGTGACATTAAATGGATGTTTGGTGCTTTTTCCAGTTTTTCAGACCTGGATTTTTGATATTTTGGATATTATTAAGGTTTCCTCTGGTCTATGCCTTTGTTTCTTTTCTAGATTTAGTAATTAGAGCAAAAATATTCCTTGTCCTAGAGAGCTTTAAAAATGTGACAAGAGCATTGTGCTGGACACTGTGACTAGTCTTGGTGTGGGTTTTGTGTCTCTAATCCCCTTCAAGTCACAGGGTAGTCAATTCTATCCCAAGCTCAGGTACGAGATGAGCAGTTTCATACCTCTTGGGGAGGCAAACCAGGGACAATATGGTGGGAGAGCAGGTGTTAGAATGGAAATAGAAAGGATGTGAGGATGTCTGAGTATGCCTCATTCTCTCATGTCTCATGTGATGTTATGCAACAACTCCGCATGTCCCCTGGCAGCTAGGAGCAACTGTTTCTGTTTCTTTGGTGTTGAAGCCCAGCTCCAGTTTATATCAGCCACAAAGGGCTGAACACAGGGGCTGGGATTGGGTTCTGCAGTGCTCTGGGACAAGCCATGCTCAGATGCCTGGGAATGAAGCCAGTTTGCTGCACTTCTCTTGCCTCCAAGACACTGTTTTTGCTTTAGTAATGAAGAGCAGTGTTGCCCAAAAGTTGCCCACCAGCATTCAGGAGGGTGTCATGTTGGTTGAAAGTGAAGTTAAATGTGTTGGCTCTGAGCAAGGAGAGAGCACCTGCCCTTCTGCCTCCTGCTTTTGGGGAAGGTCTCTTCCCCCTCATAAGGCTGCTCCCTCCTAGCCCAAAGCCCTTACAGCAGCTCTGGGAGCGCTTCATCTTTCTTGGTCAAAAGCAGTGTGAGTTGTATGGAGGAGGTCTACCCTGCTGCTCCTGGGAAATTGGGACTGAATGGCCCGAATACCTCCACGTGCGCTGGCAGGGCCTGAGGCAACACTGCCATATCTCCTCATTGCAGCAGACAGTGAAATAGGCAGGTGGCATGGCTCCAGCCACACTTCCCATCCCTATCACTCCCTGTTGCCCCATTTCTGCTCTCGTTGCAGGACCAGGAGCTGGAGAGCCTTGCCGCCATCGAGGCCGAGCTGGAACACGTGGCCCACAAGCTGCACGAGCTGAGGCGGGGCTGAGGGCTGGCCGCAGCCTTTCTCCGCCGTGGTCTCCATTCCTGAGAGTACGATGGTCTCCATGCCGAGTACGATGAGCAGAAGCACCGCGCCTTGGATGCCGCCCCACAGGCGCCAGGCCTGCCTCCCTTGCAGTAGTGTTGTGCCCATCACCGCTTCTTGCCCCCATGCTCCTCTGTCCCCTACGGATGTCCACCTGCCCCATCGGGCTGCCGTAGCCAAGAAGTGTGACCTACACCTGTATTTTCTCTCTTTTTCTTTATTTTTATTTCCTCCTTCCCTTTCTGTTTTTTAAAAGACAGGAGAGCTCTCTAGGAAGCTCTCCTCCCACTGGTAGTTTCACTGGGTTAAATTGCAATAACTTGTTACCTTTTGATTAAAAGCTGAGAACTCTGACTGTAATATATTCTATATTAAAAATTTATCTAAGGAAAAATAAAACCACGGTGGGCTCTATGCTTTCTTCACAAGCTTCCATGTCAGTGGGCTGCATTCCCTCACCACCCTGGTGGCCTTCCCAGCCTCACCACGACGCTTGGATGGCTCCATGCGTCTGAGGTGGGGGCTAAGGAGCCTTAGTGTTGGGTGAGCACTTGAGAATGTTAAGTTATTTAGGCACTGTGAGTGGGTTTTAATAAGAAATTCATAAAAGGGACAGTCATGGAAAACCAGGACATGCAGCCTGGAAGCACCATTCTGCCCTTCCATCCGCTCAGGCACTGCTACAGGGGCGGCCATGCCCCTGGGCTTAGGTAGGGTACCTGCTGGAGGGCTGGGCAATCGTTGGGCTGGGCTGGGGTGGTTGGCTCCTGCATGTCTGTCCAGGCAAATGTTTGGGACCCATAGACTTTCTTCAGAGGGAGGGACAGAGCTCAGGGCTGGGCAGGGCAGCAGCTGCAGCAGCAGCAGCAGCTCTGTCCTTGGAGGTGACACAAAGCACTGCTCCACAGGCAGTGTTTACATGAACACAGGCTGAACCTGCCTGTTGCTTAGCAAAATTTAATACTGCTGGGTGAGACACCTACCTCTCCTGCACAAAATACAATCCTGGTTAAAAACCCTACTAGGTTTTGAGTAATCAACATTTCCCCATCAGGATCAGTCCAGAAGGCAGCACTAGGAATAAATCCTTAAGCACGGCAACAGCCTGAATCCCAGTGACATCTAGATGTGCTATGCAGTCATTATATAAATAGCCTAATTTCCACTAGTCTTACAAATCAAAGCCAAACCAACCAAAACTTGATAGGAAAAGGGGAATGGCTTTAAGCTACAAGAGGGGAGATATAGGTTAGATGTTAGAAAGAAATTCTTTACTTGGACAGCAGTGAGTTGCTGGCATAGGCTGTCCAGTGAGCTGTGGGTGTCCCATCCTTGGAGGTGTTCAAGGTCAGGTTGTCCTTTGGGCAGCCTGAGGGCAGCCAGCCCATGGCAAGGGCTGGGAACTGGGTGATCCTTAAAAGGTCCCCTTCAACCTAAGCCATTTTACGACCCTACACCAGCCATGTTCCCTAGTAGAGCTGGTTTAAGAAAGTCCAAATTAACAATGACACTGAGGAAGCTTCTCACACTCAGCTGCTCCCCCCGCTGCCCTACCCACTCATCAAGAGAAGCCAAAGTAAAATTTGTTATAAGGCATTTATTTTCATTATGTGTTGTAAAGGGACAGTTCTGTCTTCAAAACAAGTACAGAGAGAATGCCACAATACCTACTGCATATTGCTTTACTGTTGAAACCAAAACATTGTCCATCACAGGTGCTTGGCAAAAGAAAAAAACCAACATATTACCATTGAAATCATTGCTGTTAGATGAAAGCACCATCTCCATTGTCAGATCCGATCAGTCATGCAACTGAAGTAAGATGCCAGATAGCAAACATTTCTATTTTTTTTACAGTAAACCACAATTTTATAAGTTTTTTTTAATCATTCTATATAAATTTAAGTACAAAATGGGAATCCCGTTTCAGAAATCATAGTGAAGAGGGCTGGAGCAAATCACAAGACGCGCGTGTTAACACTGTACAGTTGGATTTGAACACAGATATTGACAAACTTGTGAAACCCGGCACAGATGAATGGTCCCCAGGCCTCAGCCATGCTTAAGTGGGGAGCACAGCTGGCGAGTGAAGGAGAATTCCAATATGGCCCACACGTGAAGGGCCACTTGTCTCAGAACTGCTGGGATCCCAAGGAACTATTACTTGATTTAAAGAATGACTGCACCTTAGCATATGGTTCTCACAAAGGTATACACAAGCCATATCACATACTGCGTGAGAAATAAATAATAAAAGATACATCTAATACAGCTTTTATTTATTTATTTTTTACAGCACTGACTTTACAAGAGGATAAACAATTCATTTTTAGGGGCTGCTAACATCTGAAACAAAGAAGTCACTATTTTATACTCAACATATAGCCAACCTTTTAATAACTTTATATATGTATATATGACTTTTCACACAAAAATGTTAAAATAATTTATATATAAAAACTACTGTGTAAAGAACAAAGGAGGAAATAAAAAGTGGGTTTCTTTAAAAAGGATGGAAAAGGAAGACCTGAATTTCACAAACTCCATTCACTGTTCCAGCTATTTCTAGTTTCAAGAGATTTCCAGGCCATCCATCAGAACTTCATAATGCTCAGGAGCCTCCTGCAAACTCCAGGCATGCTGGACAAGGCCACTGCCTACTGAGCTCATGGCCCACGGACAACTGCTGGCATCAGCCCCAGAGGATTCAGGGTGAGAAAGGCGGAGAGAAAACATCTCCCAAGATTTCTATAAAAATAATGGAGCCAACTCCTGGCCCATTGGTATCAGTGTCCCCTGGCCAGGACTTTATCCCCAGTCCTCACCTGCCTCTTCTCATCCCTCTTCTTCATCACAGAGTACATTTTTTTTACAGTGATTTTTTTCTTCCACAGGGAAACTGCACTACCAGCAGGAATGGACCAGACCCCAAGAGTTCCCTGTACACAGCAAGAACACTTTGGAGCCTGTGCTTGCTACAGAAGCTATCATGCCTGTGTTGCCAAGGAATTACCATTCTAATACTTTCATCTGCACCTGGACTCTCTCAAACTTCAACAGACTTTAGCAATTAGTGTGGCCATGTAAACATAACAGCATCCACAAAGGATGTGAAACCCACTCCATCAAAAGCTCAACTTTTGATGGCTTGGGTCCACACAGGGTGAATAGGGAAAGGAAAGGTAGTGAAGATGTGGGAAGTACTTTTCTGGAGGTTACATTCCTCTGAAATACGTATTAAAGCAATATTACAAATAAAATCAGCAATGCGTGTGTCACACATGAAAGCGAGAGGAGATTATATTAAAGGAAATATTTTAATCTACACAAAGCATTTTCACATCCTGCTATTATGAAACACACAGCTGCAACACCATAAAGTAATTATATACTGAATACAAAAATCAATACATCTCTGACCAGAAGGAGGGAGGAAATGAGAATTAGTGGAGTAATGCAAGTGAACTCCTGCAGTATGCACATGGGGAGACCACTACAAACTCAAATTAGACTCTATTCACTAACAAACCCAAACCCAGGATCTTCTGCACCACTCTGGAAGGTACGGCTGCAAGCGAGTGTGAAAAAGTCTGACCCATGGTCACTGCTGCCACACCAAGACTTTGGGGAAGCCATGTTAGCTGAATTGCTGCTGAGTCTGGCATTTCTTTTTGTTGGATGGAAACAGAAGTTTCCATTTTCCTTTGTTTTGCTGGTTTTTTTTTTGGTCAGTCAACTCAAACACCTTTGGCCACCTGCATTCAGTTGCTCTTGGCTGTGCCCTGCCATTCCGATCCATGCGCTGCCCCATGCAATCACTCCTAGACCGAGCACAGGCCATGGCTGGCTGAGGGACATCATCCCTCAGCTTGAGCCATCCACCTTACTTTCCTCCCCTCCTGGGGCCCCAGGATGAGGCTCTTTGTTCGTGCCCATTTTTATGAGGACAGCAGATGAAGCCGGTGGTTCTTACCTGAGCAAGTTGTTGCAGATTCCTCTGTACAAACACTGACATGTTCCACATGGGGATCTCTAAGCAAATTTCTCATTCCAACGGTCTGAATACGTCTGGAAGAGCCAGACGCATGGTTACCAAAGGCAGAACAACGGCAGGCTAAGGGTGTCAGCCCTGGCACACGTGGTCAGGCTGCACTCCTGCACTGGGTTTTCAGTATGACCCAATTGTCCTGAGGCAGTCACTGCAAACCCAATGTAACATGGCAGTGTCAGCTAGAGAGAGAGGATGATGGTGATGGTTTTGCATTATGTGCACTAATAATACCATTCAAGTTCTCTTCAACAGGGTATAATCTTCACCTACTGAAGTCAGCTACACAATCACAGCGAAAATCACAGTCAAATCTCCTCCATCACACTGACACAAAACCTGGAGAACATTCCAGCCAAGCTAATGGTGCTCTTGTGGACTGATAACAGTGAAGCAGAACAGAAGCAGATCCACAAGATGCTAACTGGTGACCACATCACTTTAACTTAATTGCTCCAATCAACACAGCAGCAATAGCTATGCCTCTGAAAACACAGCAGAACCTTTTCTAACCCACAATAACAGAATTCAAACAAGATGTTATGGAAAATCTCCCTCAGATTGTCTGCAATTTTAAGAGCGAGGCTATTATATGGGATGGTCTTATGTTACTACATCTCCTTACTTTAAAAGAAAACAAACAAACAAACAAAAAAAAAAAAAAAAAAAAAAGAAAAAGGAAAAGACTGCAGAACAAGAACTACATTACTGTGAAGCTTATAATAAATCAAAGCCATCCTAAACGTATCAAATGAGGCAGCAATTCAGAAAAGCACTTTAGCACAGGCTTAATAACATACGTGTGCTCGAATGTTTTGCAGTAATGTAATTGTATGTCTGGACACTTGGTAATCTACAGTTTTGGCTTTTAAAAACTGGTCTCCTGATTGGCCCATGTGATTGGGCGGCACTCTAACATATGAGCCACAACAACAATTTCGGCAAGGAAATATAGCAGTACAGCAATCGCATGGTAATTTAGGAGAAAACTCTATTGTAATGCCACATCACAACAGGTACTTGCACGTCTGCACCTGGTAAATTAAAGTGATACAGATACATTTGATAAATAAGAAATAAATTACAGACTATGGGAAAAATGTCACTGATCACACCAATGACCTAAACTTCTCCTCTAGTTACAGCCAAGGTCTGGAGTAATATTTAAATATAGCATTTCTGTAAGCCTTCAGAGAATTACAAAATAAACTTTTAACAATCATCTGTAAACAAGTTTAAAATGCACAATTATATTTCAGTAGTTTATTTTGGAGAAATAAAGCAGTGCAAAATAGGCCAACCAAAATTCAGAAGGCAGCCAGGAAAATAAAATTCTCATTTGATGTTCTAACTAGGAAACAGCATACAGACACTTCAATTGGATCCGACACTCAGATTCATGTAAACATACTTAGTTTGAAAGGTCTTGAGTTACTAACCCAGCTTTAACATCATCGCTTTTTCCCCACCACCAAATTAAAAACAAAACAAATCAAAACAAAACAACCCCAAGCCATAATAAAGGGAGCAAAAGGCAAGTCTACAAACACTCCACCAGCTGGTTACAAGAAAGTACCATACAAAAATAAGCACTGGCAAATTTCTTCCTGAGGGTATCTTTTGTTACACATGTAACATAAAAACACTTTTTATTTTCAACAAACAAAAACAAACCCCAAACTGTAGATGTCAATTTTATTTCAGTCACGGCTTTATGAAAGGTTTGGTCTATCGTGAATACTCGTATAAACCCACATCTATGTACATCTGACTCACTCACACCACTACAACCCAGACCTGCAAGCTGCACTCAATGTGGGGTTCAGCAGCCTCAAAGCATACAGGGAATGCAAAGAGAGCCCAGCTCAGGGCCGGTCTGCAACAGAATAGGAAGCTGGCTGTAATTATGTGCACCCTGCAATTCTACAGGTATCACAATCACGAGGTCCTTCCCTCTTGTGTAGGCTGTCCTCAGAAATGCAAACCCAGCTACAGAAATTTTCCTACAATGGCACTTGGGGAACAAACCCAATCTCTCCCAGAGGAAAATGAGCGTGCATAAAATAACTGCTACACAATGTTCTTCATAATGCCATCTCCTCCAGGACTGGTACCATCAGGTTAGGATGGTGACGCTTTCTACTGCTCTCTCCATGGTCTGCCCAAGCTTTAAGCTCTAGATCGTTTCCTTTTGAGTGGTAATGCATTTCCTTTCAATCTAATACAGGATACTAACAAACGGGCATTAAATGCTGCAGTGATGAGTGCTTTACAAATATCCGCTATAGAAAGCTGGAGACTACCATACCTGTAAGCTATGAGCTGAATTAAGGACATTTTCTTTCCACCACGCCTCTTAAATATATTTTAGGGCTTATATGGGAAAGAGAAGGCCACTCAGTCTACCAAAAAAGTCTATGTTCTCAGCACTGATAGAGTTGGTTACTTCCAGTTTAGTGTTCAGAATTGGCAAAAGCTGCAGGAATGCTCAACAGCAGAAGATGCTGCCATGCTAGAAGATGCAATAGCAGGTGAACACTGTAGGTTTACTGCACATCTCAAGAGACAGAAGGTGGCTGCACTATTGCTTACAAATAGTGTGAAGCACCACTGTAAATTACCACACAGCCCGTCTGACAGACTCACCTGGCAGCCTGGAGCACGATACGCTACTTAGAACTGCTGTCTCACACAAAGGTACTCACTCGGCACACATTTCATTTGCAAAAGAAAAAACTGCAGCACCGTGGATCTGTGGAAGGCAGCAATTGTGTTACACCCAGATCAGGTGCACTGCTGTAAGGAGAATGTGTGGCTCTGGTTGGCAGCCTTTTGGCAGAGCTGTCTTGGAATCCTCACAAGTGTAATGTAGGGAGAATTAAATTCTCTGCTCAGAGATGAGCTGCTCTTCTAGCAGATGATGGAAAGAATGTCATTTCATCAACTAAATCACTCAACTTAACTACCTGCACCTCTTTTTCAGCCTCTAGTCTGCCTGGATCAGACACATTTCACTCTTGGCAAGTGTAGCCAGAAGCTGCTGGTGACTAAAGCAAGGAGGCCTGGGGTAAAGCTGTGAAGGGCGGCTGCTCGGTACTGAGCCCTTAACAGCCGGCATGCTCGGTCCCATCTAAGTGCTGTGGCTCACAGCAAGCTCTCTGTCAATACCCTGACAATGCTGCAAGAGATTTGGTTTAGTGATACTGAAGTTGTCTTAGCTTTCTTTTGCAATGGCCTAGCTGGAAAAAGGAATGGGAGTATTTTAGGCAAAAATCTCTAGCACTGTTACATTCATACATTCCATTTCAACATTATTATCTCCTTGATACCATGAGGTCCGATTTTAAAATGCTGGTCACCAGTGATTACAAAGAACAATAGAAACAAAAGAGCAACCCTCCCACAATGAAAGGTCTAGTGTTAAATCCCATGCGTGTGTGTAAACTCACTATAGATTTACAACTGGAATCTGATGAAGTGGATCTGAATCACTTTCTCACCCTCTCCTTTTCAGACCATTTCATCAGCAAATCAGGTTAAATCAAATGGAAGGTGGGTTTCTTTTAATTGTTATTTTGCTTTTTTTTTGTATTGTGTTTTCTTTTTTTTTTTTTTTTTTTTTTTTTTTTCCCCCCAATTCTACTTTTACAGCCTGATCTGGTTCCGGGACCACAATTTGTATCCCTGCGGCTTTTTCCTCAGTCCATGGCATCAGCAAGTTACTGGGAGGAAGCTTTCGTGGCCAACGTGGCGACGCAGTGCTGCTGGAAGCTGGGGGACACTGCAGAGTTGCAGCCTAGTCTCTGGTGTTGCAGTTTTACTGAGCTGTTGGTCTCGCTCTCCACAATCCAGGAGGAGTCTTTTCCCATGACGCTGAGACAGCCCGTGCTCGCACAGCATATCCGCTCGTCCATCATCCCGCCGGTCTGCTCAGCCAGGAGCTTGCTACGGTTTAGCTGGGTCACCTCAGGTGCCTGACCCTGCAGGACAGCAGCTATGTGGTTCAGGAGATCTGTGAAAAACTCGGAAACGCCCTCATAACCTGAAAAGGGGAAAAACAAAGAATGGGAAGAAAATGCAGCTGAGTAGTTTCTGTATGTTCTTTCTTCTCCCACTTTATTTCTTAGGCTGTCCTCGACCTGCCACTGATAATCAAAAAGCTTTCTTCCATGATGCCACTGTGACTGAAAGCACAAGCCGGCTAGCATAAAAGGGAACAGAGACCCTTGCTGCTAAAATACTTCTGTCCAGACAGTTCAGTAAGAGGCACTAGATCACTTCTCAGATTTTCTGCTTCCTTTTCCTCCCACACACATACGTGTATATATACAATTTTAGGTATATCCTATCATTTGTTTTCAAGTCCAGCTTTTCCCCTAAGTTACAAACTCTGTGTTGTAGCACCAATTTTCTGCATCCTGTTGCTAGGATTTACTACAGAAACTTGCTCTAAAGCACAGGTTCCTTGAGGGTCCACACCCTCCATAATTTCCCAGTAACCTCTCAGCTAGGGGAACCTCAAAGAAGAGCAAAGCAGGCTCTGCTCCCTACAGAAAGGCAGTGTCTGATTGAAAGAAGCAATGTGGTGCTTGCCTAATCTTACCTAACTTAGCACTCAAAACACGTTCCCTGCTATGAACAATGTCTAAAAACACAGTCAAGGAGACTAAATATATTTAAATGATGCAGCATTGGGCAGAAACAGCAGAATCTGGACTCAGCACTGAAACCAACTTTCTGCATTGTTCTGTTAAGAGATTCCCAGACAATTCATACTGAGGGTTTAACAACTAGTGCCTTGGCTAAAACAGATGGTCAAATAACAGGAGATACTACATTTTTTGGTGACAGCAGGTGTATAGAGTATTGGTTTATTTTAAACTCTGGTATAGACACAGTTTTATTATTACATTCATTTTAAAATTGAATCAGACATGCGACACATCTATACAATGTCTTGAAATGGACCTTAGCTACTACTACATTAGCTGAAATTGGTATCAATTTGATTTAGTGGTGATTTAGATTTAGAGGTGATGTGACATTCAGTGTATTAAATGGGCTGGGCTGATTGTTTCTGAATGCCTATAAAAGTATTTTAAAGGTGACCTAATATTAATACCGGAGACTAAAGCAATAAATGGCAGTTTAAAAGTTCCACGTGAATAGTACACATTCACACAGATCAGCATGACAGCAGAACTGCAGACCACAAATAAACGCACATTTTAGAACACTTTTAGTAACATGACTAAAGGACAGAGGAGCCGTAAATAATTCAATTTGAATCTCCCTTCTTCTGTGAAAGCCAAATTCCTTTGGCAATAAGAAACCAGCTTCCTGAAAAACACAAGGTAAGAGGACAATTTAACCTTGAGATAAATGTGGTGGTTTTGCGGGGTATTTATAACCCACACATTAACTAATTAACTCTTACTTAGGCTGCCACATTGCTTTGGATTTTACTGCACTCACAATTTTCTTAGGTATCCCAAACAGATCTCATATCTCCCCCGGTTTGTGTGACAACAGTTCCCAGTTTTCCTGTCTCAAAGACCCTTACAGAAATTCACCAAACAAACTGGCTATTTAAAACCTTCCAATGACCAGTGACCCACATTGTAACCCACCCATCAGTCGGGGACAACCAAGGCTTTTGCAGTTCTGGGAGCCAGAACAAGAGCTCCACCTCTCTGATAGAGATGCTTGTTACGCTTTCTTGCTTATGTAAAAGACATGGGATTAGCCTTCAAATCTACTCAGAGTGCTCCTGGCTCCCTGGGAATAAGCCATCTCCATAGTAACAGCTTTAATATTCAGAGAGGAGACCCATAGACCCTAGATGGTTTTATGTCTGCTTGCTGAAAACAAACCAGCCTTGTCTGAGGGCACATGGTAAACTCACAAAGAAGTTGCTTTAAATATTTAATGGGAATAAGAAAGCCAGTTACAAAGTCCTGAAATCAGCAGATGTTACAGTATAAGGAAGCTATACATTTCATACATGTGCCAGCCCACTGCACACTGCATGGAAACGCTCAAATAATTCTGCTTGGTCACTGAGAAGAAAGTTCATACAGCAAAAAAATATGTATAAAAAAATACACGGAAGGGAGGAAAAGAACAATGTGTCTCAGCTCTTAACACCATCCACAAGATGGGGATGGCTGCAAACTGTCAATACTGGCTCACCCTGTTCCCTGACTGCTGCTGCACATCTTTCAAAATGACAACTGTGGGACATCACTGTGCTGTGACAATAAGGCATCAAGAAGGGTAACTTAAATTATACCTTCAGAAATTACTGGTAACAAAGTCAGGGCTCACGTTACACAGTGAGTCAGTCAGAGGACCCAAGTTTTGCACACCTAAACACAAGCGGTATGGATCATGCTGCTGCAAGCATGATGCTAAGACAACCCTATGAAACCACTATGGAGTCAGTGTGAGGTCTGCATTTTGCTGTGATGAGAACAGTCTCTAGTGTTTTCTGTCAGAGCACGGATAGGAAGGAAGTTTGCCCAGGAACTCCACAGAAAACAAGCACCCTGTCTACTTGAGCTTTGCAGAGCCACAAAGTGCTCATGAGCACTTTTAAGCTAGTGTTACAGATATTACACTCCAAATTTTTAGCAAACCTTCCTTAAGCAGGCAGATACTCTGATTTTCTTCATCTTCCCTAGGGCAAAGAGAACTGGATAGCCCACAGCCTGCATTTGTGGCAGCGTGCTCATACGTACAAACTGTGTGCCCAGACCCAGTGCCTTGCTTCCCAACTACCACATAAGAGCTCACACATCCCACTGGCAAGTTGCTGCTCAGGCTTGCTGAGATCAGCTGCTGTGATGCAACAGCAGGCTTCATGGAGCCCCTTCTCTGTTACCTGAGGTCAGACAAACATAAAACCCACACGCTACGTGACAGTTAAATACCTCAGCTGGTAACCACAGCTAAATATGGCCCAGACAGTTTTCTATATAGCAGGAGACACAGTAGGGCTTTTAGACATTTATCTTTAACATCTTTCCAAACTGCCACTAATGCTAAATGAAGTAGGTAACAGACAACATCCTCCTCCAGGTACATCTGCTCTAAATTCTAATGTTGAATTAATCTCAGTATGATATCCATGAATTGGCAAGATCAAATGAGCTCCAAGCTAGATAGATGTGAAAGAGAATGCACAAGAAGCCAAGCCTCTGGGTAGCTGGGGAAGGCTTTGGTCAGGCCTGGTCCCAAGATGCAGCTTGAGCTCCATGAAAGAGGCTGAAAATACACCTCTTTCTCTCCCTCCCCACTAAGCGGCAGTACTTCCCCTAAGTGTCCAGTTTGGCTTCCATTTGGATCTACTGTAATCCTTCCAGGACAGAAAGATTTGAGGAAGAAGTGAGCGAAAGCCCCTTCCATGAATTGCATGGTTTGAACCCACTGCTGACACAACCCATCAGGAACTCCTTTGAGCAGTGCTGATTTTCAGCTCCTCATTAGCTAAGTGTTGGCTCCATTGATGAAGTCAGTCCTTGCAGCTGCTCATCTTTGAATCAAACTGGCCCACGGAGAGAAATGCATCTGCCCTGGCTGAATGTGCTTTTGAGCAACAGGGATACATCTCTGTGTTGAGACGTAAATTTTCTTCTGTTGATTTTTACTCTGTCACTTCTCCTCTGATTTTAGCAGCTTTCAGATCAGTCCATCTCTCTCTCTCAGTTCTGCTGTCTTTTACAGATTTGAATATTGCTTTGTTTACCCCCAGCCTTCTCTTTCATATGTCTGGTCCGTGCTGCTGTCCTCTAGACTTTCTCCAAGCAGTTTTCAACACCCTCTGCCATGATGATAAAGCCAGTAGCTATCTTCATTACTCACAAGGTCACTATAAAAAAAAAAATTCTGTGTGCGATAAAATGTAGAATTGTGCACAAGAAGCTTTCCTGTGCTCTCAAGCATCTTGAAAAGAATATTAAGTTGATGTCTATTCAAAGCCTAATTACTGTGCAGACTGAAATGCAGGACTTGCACTGAATATCAAAAACTGTTGTCTTAGAATAAGCATGCAGCAGAGCACAAGGCTGCAGGCAGTTCTGCAAGGTGATGCCACTACAAGGAGACATTATGCCTGTTTAAGTTGCGGAATTTGCCATTAGCTGTTGCCCAGTCAGGAGTTTTCAATGTTTCAAGAAACTAAGTAGCTTGGTCTGTGCAAAGCACCAAATTTGAAACAATACCTGCAAATAAAAAAAATCACCTAGAAGTACAGAATGCAAAATAGTGCAAAATGCAGGATTGCAAAGAGATGTCCTGCACCACTCAGGTGCAATATTTCAATATTCAGTGTCTGAAACATGAACCTTTGGCTCTGTCTGACTACTGATTTAGGTAGTTTCGTTGCTCTTCGCAGAAGACAGTTTTCATGGGTTCACAGACTACATCAACAGCATATGGTGAAACCAAGCAGCAAAGTGATCTGTGAATAGTAGGCCTGAAGGTTTGAGAGGAAGCCAGTCACAGACAGGCAAGGCACAACAGGGCAGCACTGGGATTGAGGACTTGGATTGAAAGATTAAGAAGATTGGTGATTTAGGACTTCTGGATATGAAGATATCTCAATAATACTGAAAATTCAATGACAGGCTAAACAAACTATGTAACAGCCTGGCTATGTCTCTGAAAACAGACGAGACTATTCAGGTAACGATACAATATTTTCAAAGAGAAAAATTCCATGTAGAACAATGCCAGAGATTATATAATCTTTTCCTGTTAGGTTACCAAATCTAGCACGGGTGACAGAGCATTACTGTCTCCTGTTACACACACTTGTTACTCCTAACAATTTCAGTGGTCAAGGATTTTGTTTAACTGCTTCCAAGGCATATGGTGCAATAAAGAAGTGGACAAATTTTCACATGCGCATTCTATTGTTTTATTCCAGGATACACTTATGAGAGCCTTCAAGGATATTTAAAACTTTATAGCAACTCCTCCGCAAATGCAATCTTCCTTAGATTCCTCCCATTGTTGCTTTTGCGCACAAGACATCTTTCCACGGGAGAATCAATTTGCACAGGAAGAGATTTTCAAGGGAACAGTTTGCTACTTCCACCCCCTCAACACTTTTAAGGGTACAGAGTCTAGAGAAAAATAATCTTAGAGGCTCTCTTAAAATAGAATTTATTCTCTCCTCATTTACAGAATGAAAGACAGACCTAGAAAGTTCAAGCCCCAGCACACAGCCCTGTGCTTCAGTTCCTGAGCAACAGCATGAAAGCCACACAACAGCTAGCCACTAAACTTTGACTGCATCTCCTAAAAGCTACTATTTCAGTAGCACATTCCATATCTACACTAGGGTTTTGTCCTTGCTGGATTAAACACTGCCTGATTTCTGTACAATTCTGCACGCCGCTCTCCCTTTCCCCACCTGAGAAATAATTATATGAGACACCGGCAGCCAAACTTCACACTAAGCACACACTGCATGGCTTCTGCATAGCATGAGTAGAAAGGCCTTTCTCACCTGGGAATGCATTTATATCGATGACTGCATGCTGCCCGGTCTGATTGTTAATGATGACATCGATTCCAAAGAGGGAAACTCCCAGAGCTTGCCGCAGTGCCTTAGAGATTTCCCGGATGACGTCATCATCTGGCCGCTCAAACACTCCTTCGATTTTATCCAGCTACAGAGGAACAGGACACATTACTGAGTCTGAAGCAGTCTTTTAAGTGCAAAGATTAAATTTCATTTCCAGGTCTAATATCCACCAAACTGCAGAGAACTGGTAGCACAAAAGAGAAACAACAGGAGCTTCTTTAATAATTCAGAATCCTACATACAGCAGAAGTTCACCTACTGTAAAGCATCTAGTTCTTTGCTTCGTTTTGGTGCAGTTCCTTAAAATATGCAACAGTGTAGGAATAAATGGAGAATCACTATTTTAAGTACTAAATCTTCACCTCAGAAAAATAAATTCAGCCAGCCATTTCAACCCTGTGCTGCAACCATTCTGGATAAAATTCTATTATTACAGGTAGATTATGGCCTGTCTGTGGGACTGATAAGACAGACTTGTACCTGCTAGCTTCATCTGAACTACAAAGCACAACTCTGCTGGTATCTTCAAGGCAGCAGCTAATTCAAAGTGGATAGCTTTTGTGTGAATTTTCATCTATAAGTTATTCTACAGACGTGTACTATCACAAATAATCTAAATTATTCTTGACTGGAAGATGTAATTTTTTCACCTTTTAAACAAGAGGTTATGCAGCAGACACTGGTATGCTTACAGAAATGTGCCTGGAATATGTATGTGCATGAGAGAGGTGGCAGGTAAACCACAAGAGCATATTCTCTACATAAACTTACAAGTAAATTTACCCACAAAGGGATTTACAACTAGCACAATTACAGCTTTAAAATTTTACACATGCACATTTTGCACACAATTTAAATTAATCATTGCTGACTACAGAACTATTCCCAAATAGAGCTCGTGAAACAGAAAAGGATCCGAAGACTCAGAGATTTAAAGGACTCAGTCCTGCAAAGTGACTTTCATAGCAGTTGAGCACCTGAGGCCTTACTTGGATTCATATGTACAAAGCTTATTAAAAGGCCTGGTAATGTGAGCATTAATCCATGCCACTTGCTTGCATGGCTGGACTCAGAAGATCCCCAGAAATGGTCCTTTGGTTGCAGCTCAGCAAAGCCTGCACTGCAGCCAGCTACTGATCCTCTACGGCCCTGTCCAATGCATTTTCTCTTAATTTTCACCATTTCTCTTTCCTCACAGAACTGAGGATGATTTATGTCTATGAAGCTCTCTAGACAGGGAATGGGCAGATATTTGTATTCAGAAACTTCTTCCCTTTCTCCTCAGCTTTGGGGAGTCCATGCCTAGTGCGTAGCACACAGGCCTGCTGATCAGTGCTTCCTCACCACAGCTCGGTAAGGAATACCAGAGGGACACACAGACATGCTGGTTCATTATACAGAACAGACCTCAGCCAGCAACATGGAAGCAGATAACTTAAGAAGAGCTGCTAGCTACCAGCACTTTGATAAGAAAGGACTAGATAGTCTTCCAGTTATGCTAGAGGAAAAAGAACAGGTATACTTACCGCTGTTAAGACAGATGATGATTCTGGCTTTGAGACATTGTGGCTGTTGAAGAATATTGATTCTCTGTCTGAAATTAAAAGAAGGTAGTAAATAACTGTAAAGGATTTTAATTTCCAAAGGATGAGTGCAATGAACAGCAGATGGCACTGCAGCCCAGGGAATCCAGTCTTGATCAATACTAGATAGCTCCCTGCACCATCTGCCCTGAAGTGTGCTCCTACTCACAGCTTGGCTATGAGCATAGGCAGCAAAACATGGCCAGGGCCAGCCGTGGTTTCCAGACCTCAGCCCTCAGTTAAATAGAACTATGAGAGGTTAATAAAAACTAGTTTTGATTCATCTATTAAACACAATCAATTAATAATGAAGTTAATTTCTACCAATTTGATACATTCAATATGACTGCTCAGATCATAAAGCTTGCTGGCCTCTGACATGACGTTTAAGAGAAGCCACAGAGCCATGTACGATAAAGATGGGAGAACCATGAAAAGCAAACTTAAATCCACTCTAAAGTCTGAGACTATCACGTACTCCTCTTGCCTTTCCTCCCATTCAGAAAGGCCCCGTATTTTCAGACAGTCAGCTCCAGGGAGTGCTTCACAATCGTCAGACCTGTTAGGAGGGTACTCATAGCCCACAATTCTACTGAAATTGGAAAGAAAGCCAGACACTTACCCTAATCTGCCCACCCAACGTATTTTACATAAGCTTCCAGACAACTTTAAGGTTTTACACTAATGGATGAGATACTAGCAAAGGCATTTTTAAAAATATGCCTTAACATATTCTCTTCCAGCAAAACCACAGCCAGTCACAGTATCTTACATGAACACAGCCTACTTCAGGACACACAGCACACCTAAAAGTGAATATATCCAACCTACTGCCACACATCCCTACAGACTAGTTTTTTTTACCAGGATCCTGCTGAATTCCACATAAACTAACAAAGTATGCCCTTGTGAGTGGAAACAATGGTGAGCACACACTGATATATTAAGATTAGCAGAAATCACTACAAAAAGTCACCAGAAATTGGTACTTGTTTCTTCATCTCCATCAGCTTAATCCCTTTCACTCATTTTTCCACTTGCAGGACTCCATCCACCATGAGCTCCAGGGAGCACCAAGCACCTTCACAGCCTGTGTACACTTAGTGTGGCACAGCCTGAAGACGACACATCTTTGCCTAAGAAGGACCCTGTCTGTATTCATACTTCTGCTCACTGATAGAAAGATCCATGCCCTGCTAATTCCTTCTTGCTTCTGATGTCCCACTGAATGTAGATCTCAGGCCCATCAAGGGGAAGGAATTCTTCTTCCATACAGGAAATTTTAGAATCTTCTAATGACAACCTTTAATGTGACTGCTCTCCACTAACATATAGGAGGATCACTGTTCTTACTGACAAGACCATTCCTCCTGTTCTCCAACAGCTGGTATCCACAAAATAAAGAGACTTGCACCAAGGTTTACAACAATAGGCCTCATATTTTGGGGAAAGCACAAGTGAGTTTCAATTTAAACACACATATATAATCAAGGTAAAAATAGGGAAAGGAAGTTCTGAAGCCATGTAATCCAGGAAATCCTCTCCAAAGCACATTTATAAACAAACTCCAGAACAAATGATGTGACCTTACTAGGAAATCAGAGAATTTCTCCAGCTCCACACTTCCACATTACACAAAACACTGTTTCTAACAGGTAAGACACTGTTTACTGTTGCATAAATATTTACTATATAAACGTCATTCATATATATTCCAGAGTACGTGAGTTATCCCCTTCTTATTGAAATAATACAGAAGAAATAACATATAGGAACCAAATGTCTTCATTTAATCAACCTCCTCAAAGATTTTTTTGAGCTTCCTTCGAGCTGTTTGTTGCTAAGGCTCTAAGAACGATCGCTTCCTTGTAAACGAGCACAATATACCTGAGATTCCAGCAGAGAAGTTCTTTAAAGATGGTCTTTTCACCACTGTGTAGGATTCCCCAACTACAAACACTTTATACAGCACAGCATTGTGGTTGATGAAGCTCTGAATGACACAAGGCGGGCGGACAGCTTTCAGACCCTCCTGGTTGAAGATGATCGCCATCTGAAAACACACACAGTTGTGCACAAGTCTTTCAATAACTTTATATTCACCAACAAGCAGTGAGGGGGAACATGTACTGGTGGATATACATTGACCAAGTGTGGATCCCTTCTTAGCAGCAAGTCCCGCATTATTACATTTCAGTGACACAAACTCTTCAAACAACTGATAACATAACTTTCATTTTCAATGAAAATTTTAATCTCAGCTCTTCATAATTTCATTTACCCACTTCTGTTAAGAATGCTACTGGAATCACAAGTTTTTAGAAGAAAAAAATGATAAAATATGTGACCATTATAGCCAATCATGTCTGTGTGAATATAAGCTCATGTCACAAGAATAACAGAAGCGTGAAGACGTACATCTGTGTACTAACAATATAAGTTTTTCTCTGCAGCAGTATTTCCTGTGGCTTGGGTCAGTACAGTGGCAATGTCATAAGCAATGGGGTCTCACCCACACGATCAGATAACTTTTTCCAGCACCTAGTATCTCTTACTGCTAGGGAATTTAGGGCCAATGATTTTCAGTTTTGACCCATTATTCCAGATGCACAGTTCCCCTCAAGGAACTGTAAAAAATATGCCCCAAAGGAAGTCATTTATAGGGCCTTTATGATGAACACCAGGTGTCTCAAACAATGGATTTGATGCTGGATGGTGCAGAGTAGTATTCTGTCAAGCCAACGTATCTTCAGCATGTTACACTGTTCTTTGTATAGAACCTTCCACCAACTCACCTGCGTGCATATCTAATTGTCATAAGCACTGTTTTCCACCTTGCAGGTTTGTAGATGGGATGCAAATGTGTCCATGGCTCCAAAGCAGAAATGGCAGCAAGCACTGTTCTGGCACAAGCTGATGAAGTTACTTTATACCCAGGTGCCCCTAAAAGCTGTGAGGATAAACTTAAGTTTGTTCCCTAACCTAAAACCCCTGAGAAAACTTTGCTCTTATTATCTGAATAGGAATCTCTCCTCATCATTTCAGTGATGCTGGGCCTTGTTATCCAGAGACACACAAGAAAATTTTGTCAGTCAGATGAATATGAGTAAGAACTAACCAAGACCAGAGAATCTGATGTCAGGTTTATCTTCCTTCCCTCTGAGCACAGTTCCCTGGAACAAGTTAGACCATCTTTGGGTTTGACAACTGTAAAGCTGTGAAGGCAACAGCTAACCTTCCATCTCTTGTGCCTGCATCTACCTCATTCAGTGCAGGATGTACATTTGCCATAAAAGCTCCTTAGCTCTAAAAAATGAGTTTTTCTTCATCCATATTAGTATTTTCTTCCTGTCCTCTTTGGGCCTAGTCTTCTACTTGTATGTAAAAAAAACAGCCCAGAGAGGTTAAGAGAATTCCTGTGGGTCCCACAAGAACTCCACAGCAAGGTACAGAATAACATTGGAGCTTCTTGCTTTGGTATGGTGCAAATGAGTTATCTGACCATGTGTTTCCAGTCAGTTTTTGTACCTTCTGGCACAAGCTGTATCTTACTGAAGTCATAGAAATTGGAAAGATTTTACAAAGAAACTTTTCTGCTTTATGTTCTCTCACTCCTACTTTATATTATATATGATCAGCTATTCATTTGCTGTACATTGTACTGTCATACTGAATTCTTGATAACATCTCTGTTCCTGCATTAAAAATAGTAAATTTAATAGATTTTGTTGATCCAAAACACAGGCATGGTAAATGATGTAGTGACTACACATTTATAGTTAAAAGTCTGAGCATTTTATTTTTGTCGTTACTTATTTAATATTCTGCTTTGCTCCTTATCTGGTAGACCACATAGGACCAGAGAACCATCTGTATATAAGCACAATAACTCAGGAGATTAACATTTTCTAAGTTCATGTCAGTATAAGCATTCAGTGCCTACTTGCAGCTGATACTCTTATGCTGTCTCTTACACCAGATGCCAGCTGTTTGACACACAGACTGAATCTGTGATTAGTGATAACTTGTGCAAGAAACCTACTGTAACCAACAGCATCGTCCATCAAGACGATTCACAGCAGTGACATCATTTGCCTTTCACTGGTGGCAAGAACCACTGTTCTTTTCTCCTTGTGCAAAGACAGCTGCCTTTATAATATCTACAATATCATGCTGGTAAAAACTATGTTGTTCTTATCCTCCAAGTGTTCTCTGCAAATAGTTAATTAATTCTTGGAAACCACTCCTTCAGGTACTTATCACTTTTTGTTTTGGAACTGTGAAAACCCAGAGAGTTTGTATTCTCAGCACAGAGCCTACCCAAGCTACTAGAAACCACATGAAACCTTTCTTCTGCAAAGCTATCTCTTGACAGCCCCATAGACTAGCATACAACCCATAAAAACTCTCATGGTGCTGTGTTATGCTGGTTCATTGGGATGTCTCATTCCTTCAGCATGCATGAATACAGATCCAGGAATTTGATTGCAGGGTGTGCTTGCCCTTTGTCATCTAGCACAGACCTGCTGTATCTAGCAGTAACTTGGGAATAATACTTTGTATCATAATTTTCAAATGGCATTACTTGTTACAGATGCAGAGCTCTTCTAAAGGTAAACCAAAATACCTGGCAGCAAGAAATTATCATGTTAATGGACTTCAGTCTGAAAAAAAAAAAAAACAACCCACAAAACAAAGTGGTTCCCTACTTTTTACTCCTGTCTGCTCAATATTTAGAAAAATAAACATTCTGGACATGTTTTTTCACATCATGGATCTTAGTGATGTCAGCTTTACCAAAGGACAGTTGTGTTTCAACCTACTAGCAGCTGGGAAGGAGAACCTTAAGGCATCGTCTGTTCATCGTCTAACAGAAATGATGCTGGCAAAATGGGATTCAAATGCTGGGTTGGCTGATGCAATTTGCAGTACAGAAGCCACGTGGAACTGTGGGACACAAATACTAACAGCACCTGACCTAATAAGTTTGTGCATTCACAGCAAATTATGAAGTCTGACAGACAAGGCTGGCACCAAGCCCAAATTCAAGCCCTGTCCCTTCAGCTGTCCCTGCTAGCCAATACTTGATCTTTCTGACTAGTCATCTAATGAAGAAAAGCAGATTTCTGACCAGATTGCATTCTAGTTTCAGTGTCAACTTTGCAGTGGGAATATCTCTACAAATTATGCAAATTACCAAAAGCCATAGGAGGAGCCATTAATAAAACATGCAACCATTTCTTCTAGACCTACTATCTTTGAGACAGACTGTATTGTAAACAGACTATTTATTCTACATTTCCCTTGCCATTACTGCCCATAAAATAACATTTACAAGACAGTTCTTCTCTGATTATAAGTATATTTTTGGATTACTCCTGAGAACACAGCAATTTCAAAGTTTACTAAATATGTAAAATGCCATGCTAGACTTTAGGGCTTTTTTTCAGGAGACCCTTTTTTGCTCTAGTCATAAGTTCATGTGATAAAACACAGCATACAATTATATTTCAGTCTAATTTTTGCTCAGAAAATGGAATTCTGGTGGAGGCATGTCTGCACTGTACAAAGGAAATATTCACCAGGGAAACAAAAGTCAATGCCTAATTGGACAGGCCTTGAAAGCTTCGCACATTCCAGGTTGCACTTGTAGAGGAAAACTACACAGAAAAGTCAACAGAGAACCAAGTCTTAAATTCATTACCGACCCAGTCCCAAGTGCTCTCAGGAACGACAGCAAAAATTCATAGCAGCTGCTCCAGCAAACTAACAGAACTGTCTGTCATGCTTGTAAAATGATACAAGCCAAGCTTTAATGAAAAACGTAGCTGCATTTTTTACAGCATTGTCCATTCAAAAGTTTGGCTGTAGGCATTCTGTTCATCTAGACTGGCATTTTACTTTAGGGCCTTCACTTCCCAGAGATGCTGCAGCAACATACTGCACATTTCAGGAGCAGCTGGGAAACCTGGAACAGTGACCATGTTGCTAACAAAGGAAGCCAGGCATTCTTGGAGCCAGCAGGGAGGACAGGATTCTTAAAACTGAGCTGTGGTATGCAGGAAGGCAAGAAGCACAAATGGAAAAGAATTAAATCAGGACTCGACTTGCCTAAATTTAGAGGAAGCTAAGCTCACAGAGAATGCACTCCTTCCAGGAATACACAACCGTTTTAACTGCAACTGCCTTACGGGAATGAGGAAAAGCAGATAATGCTACCAGTTCCGTTCTTCCCACAGCTTCAACCACATTATTACAACCAAACATGCCTGGAAACAGACACTATTTGCTATTCCTGTAGTTCCACTAGGATCCAGCCTGCCTTTATTCACATCTCTGCTTCATCTGCAGCACAAAATCGTTTCTCACCAGTACTATGTATATTTTGGAGGGGAAGCATGGTGGGGCAGAAACCCCCACACCCCCTGGTGTAATCTCCTGCCAGATGAGAGGCTGACAAAGGAGATGCCTTGCAGACAGAGCTTGACAACAAACTGTCGGAAGCAAGTGTACAGTTGGACGAGTAGCATGGCTAGGCTGGTACGTTATAAGTATTACAGTTAGAAAGATTATCATGCTGAAAAAGAAATAACCCAGGAAGGAATGCTTACCCGTATCCAAGGATACAGGTTCACAGTGGAAAACTCCAAAAAGAAGAAATCTTCAGAAAGAGATCTTTCCCCAGTGGTAGTCAGCCCTTAAGTGAGGTCTAGGAGTTTGCCTTCACCTGTGCTCCCATGGCTGACCCAGTCCTTGCCTCAGGTGCTCAATCAGTGGTTCAGGCTGTGACTCAACAGTTCCCAGGCAGCAAGAAAACTAGATCATAGAAGCTTGAAACTGCTACAACAAGCTTTTATATCAGGAGTTTAAAGATAGATTTGGCTATCTTTCAGATAAACCTAAAAAATACTGGTGTTATTAAACCCAGTGAAATGTGTGGGAAGGAGAGTGGTTTGGGCAATGCCCTCATTCTGCCTTCCTAAAGAATCAGAAAGCACCAGCCAAACTGCTGCAAGAGGAGTGAAAGTAAAGCTGCAAGAGTTTTTAACTCACCTCATGAGAGTTGGTTCCATGGGCCACTCTGGTTTTACATACTAAATTAAAAAAAAGAAAAAAAAACTGAGACAGGACACACAAAACCCTTACAAATCCATTCCCACCCACACTTACAATCACTGGAGGCACTGACTGTATCAGATAATACTGACAGCCACTGCTTGAACAACATCCTCAGTCACTGCAAAGTTTAGCTTGCTCCGACCTCTGCTCTCTCACCTACCCCCTGGAACTGAGATGCAAACAGAGGTCATTTGTAGGGTGAGACAGAGGTGGGAAGCTCCAGAGTTAGTGCCACTACTGGTACTGCCAGCCTGCCCACTCAGAGGGCTTATCCACGCATTCGTGGTTTTGCCTGAGGCTGAAGAAATTTACCTGTGCCACAAAAAACCCACTGTCCTGAAAACAAGGGAGCTGGGACACACTGGAAACCAACTGCTTTTCCTGCTTCCCTCTTCCTGGGGAAAGGCCAGAGACCAAATGGTCTGAACCAAAATAAGGCACAGTGTATTTTTTCACAGAAAATCATGGAGGGAGACAAAGAAGCAGAGAGCTCAGCAGTTCTTTCTTCTCCATATTCCTTTTCTGCTATGCATATCTACGCAGTTCCCATTTCCATACCAAAACTGGTAAGAGGGAAGAAAAAAAATGTTCCTGCTATTATGAAATCAGGAAAGAGCTGAAGATCCTGGGAGCCTTTGCACATGATGTGCAAAGATGGTATTATTTATATGTTAATCAGAGGAGATAAAACTTGCATGTAGTGAGGAGGTGGACAGGACAAGACTTCTCTGGGGGATGCTGGAAGAATAAAGCTGCCGGGCAAGAGGACAGGCAGCTATGAAAGGTAGATGCCCTGCTCTAGAGTCCAAAATAAGTTGTAACTGGACATCTTGGAAAGTAGTGCATGATGTCTGATAGACATAAGCTCTGTGAAGCAGGAGAATTTGGAAAAAAAAATTAAATAAAAGAATCAGAAAAAAGCACTCCCACAATGTCACTCTTGTTACTTTTTAAATTTTATCATCATTTAGAGGCACTGACTCAGGCCTTCTGAATACACAGAATCATATAATGGCCTGAGTTGAAAAGGACCACAGTGATCATCCAGTTCCAATCCACCTGCCACAGGCAGGGTCGCCAACCACCAGACCAGGCTGCCCAGAGCCACATCCAGCCTGGCCTTGAATGCCTCCAGGGATGGGGCATCCACAACCTCTCTGGGCACCCTGTTCCAGTGTGTCACCTCCAACAAAAGCAGATAGGGAGGAATTTTATTCCACATCCAATCAAACTATTTCAGAGCATCTGAATTAACAGCCTGTACACTCTGGCAATGAAATACACTCTCCTGCAGTGTTGGTCACGATGTTCTTTGGGGAGTTTGTGGAATATTGCAAATCTAACTGAAGCACCAATTCAAAATCCATATACATACTGAATGGGAATGCAAGTCCATTCTTCTCTATAAGCTGCAAGGTATCTTCTCCACAGGCACTTGTCAGCTCCATAAAGGGTGGTGAACAGATCCTCTCATCTATAAGACAAAATGAGCCCAAATTAACATCAGGGGTTTAGCTTCTCAGCTGCATATTTATAGACTCTCTTCAAACTAACTGCTTCTTGGTAGTCAGCTATACTTTACCAGTTGATATTAAAACATCAGAAAGACTATCAGCCAGATGTGGATTTGCAATTCTGGAAACATCTCTGAAGATATAAGGCCAATTTTTGGACACACTGAAATAGAAATACACAAGGCCCACATTTTTTCAAGTAGGTAGGTAGGCAAAAACCATTACTCACTCAGAAATACATAACTGCACAAGCTGTAGCCATTGAGTAGAAAGACATAGGGATGCTAGCTTTTAGCATTTTACAGAAACTTGTATGGTTAGCAAGTGTGGTGGGAGCAGGCAGCCTCTCAAAGCAGGCATTACTGGATTGCCTCTCACACAGTTGTGGATGTATTTCAGGCAAGGTGAGAGACACTATTGCTACAAGAATTTTTCTCTGAAAAGACTATTTTCCTACCTCCTAAAAGGAGCAGAAACATCGATGCTTTGAGGTCAACCTTTAAAAACTTAAACAAAACATCCCAGACTTCAAAGTTTTCAGTTTGCTTCTATGAAAACAGAAAGCAGCATCCAAAAGTGACAGGTACTGCAATATTTACAAGCCTTTGCCAGAGTAAAAGAAAGTTCCTTCGTTGGATGAATTAAGGAATCAGATTTAGTTTACAGATACTTGGGAGCAACTTTGCCTTGGCAGCTCTCCCACCCATATGCTTAAGGCTCACAAATAACTTTGCCTTCGGAGTGCAAATGAAGAGGGACGTATGGCTCCATCTCACCTCCCTCCACTGCTCTCCCCTGAAAACAGTAATCGGAGACAGGACGTTTTAGTGTTCCTGCCAATTACATGATGTTTGCATGGGGAGATGAAGAAAGGGGCAAACAGTAATCTCTTTGACACTGCACTTACAAAAGACCACTTGGATCAACAAAAATTATTAGAGAAGACTCTTAGCATCTCAAAGTGCTCCTGCAGGCTTTGCACAGCAATGGCATTTTCTCCACCAAGAAGGCAATTCTAGCTCACTAAAGCTGCTCGAACAAACCATTAATTCATGGCTATACCTGAGGACAAACAACACTCAACCCAAGATTCCAGTACAGCCTACAGCTAGAAGTGCTGCTCTGAGTTTAACTGCACACACTGCAATTCTGAAGGTGGCTGTCACTTTATAAAATTTCTCCAGCTGTCAGTGATGATCCTTTCTTCCTTCCAAAGGCGGCAAACAAACTCTGAAGCTTTCTCTCATCACTGAGCTCCTACTATCAAAGTGAGTGCAGCCTCAGCACACCTTCCCTGCCCTGAGGTCCAGGATAGACATACAATTCTATGTCTGAAGCTCAATCTCAAAACTGGGTTTAATCAGCACAAAATTACACCATACACTCATGTGGTGCAACAAATAGCCACAGGCACATATAACTTTCTCTTATTCTCCCACAGCAGACAGCAGCTGCAGCAAAATCCTACAGAGCACAAATTGGGTGCATGATACTTGGCTACTGCTGCTGCCTCTTCCTAAGCCAGTAGCTACCAGTCACCATGGGGAACCATTGTTAAAAAGGAAATAATAAACATACAAACAAATGAACATAACAGTTTAGAGGTGAGAATGAAAGACAGAAGTCTGGCCCTACTGCTGACTCTGTGTTGACACTGACTTTTCGGAAAAGACTATTGCATGTTCCATCTTTGGCGATGCACAAGTGCCCTTAGTTCTCAGGAGTCTTACAAACACAATTTCTATGCTCTCCAGTTTGGACTGGAAAGAAAAACTCAGGCACTTCCTCCTCACAGTGGGTGCATGCTTCGAGTCACACGACCTGCAGATAACCATCGTTATCAGCCCCATCTTCACGCGGCCTTTAGTGAACAAAGATATCAGAAAGGAAAATCTCTCCACGTGTCAGAGGAGTGCGGTGGTAAAAGAGGCTACATACTTTTGCAGGGCACGGTTACAAAGTGATATTTCTTTATTTTTTCCAAGTGCCTGGTGGTCTGTCAGAGACCTGCCCTTGGAAACTTGGCCAGGGCCTACAGGTAGGCCATGTCAACTCACAGCTGCCAACTTGACAGCAGTGAGAAAGGGCTGCTCTTGGCAGGGTTCAGCTCTTGCTTCAGACAAGTACCAAAAACATCTGTAGCATTTTTTGTTGTTAGAAACAACACATTGTATTTAAATGTAAGGTCAAAATATCACTGTATCCCTCCTCCTGTCTTTGTCCTTAACTTTATGGTACGTTTTGGTACATAGTTTGTGGTATCCTGCTTTCTATATATTCTTTATATTCTTCTCTCTTCACAACTGTATGATCTCAGGTGGCTTCTTCTCTCCTTTCTTTTGAACTTTCTACATTTTTTCCCATCCCATCCACATTTCTTCTCTATGTTATACTTTATTAACTGCCATTTCTGTCCTTCTGTTGCTACCCACACCGAGCCCATTCCTCCCTAACTTCCACATGGAGACCAGGGCTGAGATCACGCTGACTGCAAACGCAGAGCAACAGGTGACCTCTGAAGCCAGTAGGGAAGCAGTCATTATCAGGCCACCAGTGATGGCTGGCCCAGACAGTAATGGCCTCCTGCTATGCAGATTTGCGGCACCAGACATGAGCTTTGCCAAAGCAGTGATCCAATCCCATGGAACAACATGGGCATTATACTGGATGAAGTACAATGAGGATAACAGGAGAGACTGGGATATAAAGATGTGGAAGGTGCAGAGTAAATACTGGTTAGGGAAAAAAGTTTTCTGGCTTTGAGAACTGGCTGAAACCTTAATGCTTGGGGCTTGTTCAAACAAGAAGTGAGCAGTGGTCCCCCACCCAGGTTCTGTGCACCACCGGTAGCCTGCAGACAGACTGCAAAACAATTACAAAACACCCAAGTCCCCAAAAGAAAGAAGGTATGAGAAGTCCAGAGCTGAATACACACTGCCATGCAGCAGGTAGATAAATCAGATAAAGGTACAATAAGAGTAATTCATGTCCGTTCTTAGTTTAACCAAACCTTATCTGATAATAAATGGAAACCACTGTGACAGCACCATACAAGACAGGCCCTGGATGCTATTCAAGGAGGATCAATGGTCCTTGTACTATAAATGGTTATAAGTACTGACACTTAGGGCAGCTGCAAAAAAAGCCTAAACCAGAAGAACAAGACAAACCATAAAATATATTCCTATTCAGATTTCTTACAATGCTGGAGATCTAAGACAACAAATAATAAACTAATTCTAATGCAGCACAAGAGAAGGCCTGTAGTCCCCTGGGTATGTTACAGACTTGTCCTGAAGCATACAAATGTGTGACACCTACTTCTGTTTAGCAATTAGAAATAGAGCACTCTTGAGTTTCTCTCTGTGGCTGGAAAGGCTATCCGTTTTTTTCCAAAGAAATGAGGTATACAATCTCCACATCACACATAACTTTATACAGAGAAATGACAAAACTGCTTTTGAAAAGTACTGGTCTCTGCTGTAAACACTCATTAAGATAACTAGGACAACACCTGTGTCAAAATCAGCACTGGCTTAGATCAGTCACCACCAAATGCTCACAGAGCAAATGTTAAGCTTTAAGCTATTTAAAAGATCTGCAGCAGACCTTATCAAACTCTGAGCTTCCTATTTTAGTGTGAAAAGCCACTCTAATAGAATAGTTGGCTCAGTGACTTGAAGATGCTTAAGCTTCTATAAAAATAGAGATGTTCAATAAGCCATGCTTCACTGTAGCTTCCACTGGTTTGCACTGTTGCACTCTGCCCATTTGGGAAAGGGAAGATGTACAGCCAGTGCAACATCTTTTTCTTCTAATACAATAAGGGGAGGAAATCTGAACTTCCAGCTCACCCTTGCCTTCTAAGTTTATTTTCAACAAGAAAAAACAACTCAAAGGTATTTTAATTTAAGTAACTACATGACTGTGGTTCCTCTCCTCTCCTCTCCTCTCCTCTCCTCTCCTCTCCTCTCCTCTCCTCTCCTCTCCTCTCCTCTCCTCTCCTCTCCTCTCCTCTCCTCTCCCTGTATTTAACTTCTGTAAACTTATCAGAGTTTTGAACTGTTACTTCTACGGTCATGTAACCCTCCTCACACTGCTTTCTCAGATACTTAATTTTTCAGTTGAAGTTTCATTAAAACCAAAATTTCAGTGTTTATCAGGCTTATTCTTTTGCACTAAAAATAACCTCAAGTTGTTTTCACCTCCCTTCAGAAATTTATGTTTGTGTGAAATGTTGGCAGAGCAGATTTAGCTCAAATATACATTGAATCATATGTATCACTGAAGAATCAAATCATAGCTGAATAACCATGAGTTAAGCCTTTTACTGTTAAGTCTGGAGGGGGAAAATTACAATTCTTACAATAGAACAGCTGTATCTGGGGTGTTTTTAGCAGTGTATTCCAAAGACACAAGAGGGCAGAGCAAACTTACCTTTGGGGGCATGATGCTAACTTTGCCAATGCTTTAAATATAAGGAATTGTGCACTAACTATGCTAAATGGAACATCTGCAGAAGCAACAGTCTTCATGTCTAATAAACTGGTGATTTTGAAGCATCTGGGCCAAGTGAAGAAATCTCATAACTGAATATTAATAAGTATTCAAAACTCCCAAGGAACTTGCCATTCATATGCAGTTTAGGACTTCTAGTTACAGCTTTTGAAAATAATGAATTTGGCTTACATTGGAGAGCAACGATAGAAGTTTATATAAAGGAGAAAGTCAAAGTAAAGGCAATCTGACGGATGTTCCCTCAGGTTCCTCTGCTGAGCCCTTCTTCTTGGAAAACCATTTCACAAAGTTATGATCTGCATGGTGTCCTCTCCAATCTTTTAAATCTTATGCCCACTTTCCTCACTAAAAAGGGTGCTCCTTTCCTATTCCCAAGAAAGGAATTCACCTTTCTCGGGCAGTTAGGTTGAAAGAAGCAGTTTGCAAACATTCAGCTTACTCA